GCAGGTATGGAAACACCCCTGAAATCAGCAATAACAGTGTTTTTTTTTTTGTTTTTTTTTTTTTTAAAATTTTGCTACATACATATATATATATATATATATAGAGAGAGAGAGAGAGAGAGAGAGATATTTTGGCTTAAGTATGGTTCATTCATCTATTCATCTGCATATGTTCGTTTATATATATATATATATATATATGTATGTATATATTATACATATAATTTTTTTTTTTTAATTTCGCCATCATGAGTGGCTTAATTTCTGTGTAAGGTAGAGCCATAGGGTCGTGGCACCTTCGCTTACTCGTAGCAAAACATAAAAAAAAAAAAAGAACCGCTGTTACCGCTGATTTTAGGGCTGTTTTCATACCTGCCGACGTAATCTACATTTTTTGCAGAGTTTTGTCTTGGAAATGGCGGCATTTGGGTCGTCTGATGTGAACCAAGTCACAAAGTTCTGGGTTCCATACCTTTTTTTTTTTTTTTCTGAAGTGGCTGTATAGATCCCCAAATTTAGAGACATGACTGCTAGAAGTTACAAGAGCTGTCAGACGACCCGGTTACTAGTACTGCAGAACATATGTGCAAAACATGCGGATAACGTCGGGATGATATGGCAGCACACCTAGAATTGGCAGTAACAGGATCGGATCTGTGTTGCTCACACCAAATCGTGATGAATCAGGGGACATCTTTCCGTGAACAGATATAACCTAACAAAAAGACAGGGAGTGTGCAGCCGAGCTGGTGTTAGGTAATAATTTTCTGTAGCAGCCGAGACTGGCGAGAAAAAAAGTAGCATATGACACGATAAGGGAAAAACTCAGTAGAAGAAAAAAAAAATATATATATATATATATATATATATATATATATATATATATATATATATATATATATATATATATATCAGTGTGTCGAACCGAAAAAAATACGGGTTCGGTTACGGTTCAGGTTCAGGTAAATTTATTTTGTTCCGGTTCAGTTCCGGTTCGATTAATTCGATCCGCGAACCGGTTCGCGAACCGGTTCGGAAATTATAAATGACAAATTGCAACATCAAAATAAATTACAAATAAAACATCTGAAATCAGCTCATACGAAACGGGATACATCGTAGTGTAAGGCTCAGGGATCTCTACCAGGAATGGTTTCTTTATGTGCACTCAAAGGTTACCTCACCGACGTTTACGCATTCGGACTTCATCTAATTGGATCCGACGCAGTAGCTGTAAAATCCGCGACCTCCTTACAAACCCACTTACAAGTAGAACTCGCTAACTATCCCGCCACCTCGGCGTGTAAGCAATTGAAGAAACAGTGGGGAGAAAATACAGCTTTCTTTATTTGAACTAGCCTTCGGTAACTCAAATTAGACCCTTAAAGAAGTTTTCATTAAACAAGATACGGAATATGAAAAACACTTCACCGAACGCAACGCCAGAAGGACGTAATAGGATAAATATTAAAATAGAAGAGTTCGCTGTCTAACAAATATGTTAGCTTCTAAGTGCCTATACGAAACCGGATGCATTATTATCAAACTCCAAAGCCTTTTCTTTTCTCATTCCGATGGAAGCAAGCTTCAAGAACTCGCGCGTTCTAGAAACGTGTTATGAAATGAGCACACAGCAGCATTTAGGATTTACGAGATTGTAAAAAAATAAAATCCCGTGACGCGATTTTTTTTTTTTTTTGCACAGCTTTTTAATTTTTTTTTTTTTTTTCCCGTGCAAGCCGCGACCAGCGCAATACTGGTTCCTATGTCAAGATTCATGGATGCAGCGTTTGCCAAGATTCATGGATGCAGAGTTTATATTCCTAAGACTGAGTGGAGAAGAAAAATATGTAGGCGAGGTGTGTGTCAGTTGACGGCATTTAAAAAACAAATGGCCTTGATAGCACATTCATTGTCAACAGCGCGTGGCCGAACCGTTTTGACATGAGCCGGTAACCGTTATTTTTTTTCCGGTTCAGTTCCGGTTCGGGTTCATCGCGATAACAAATAACGGTTCGGGTTCAGTTCCGGAAAAAATACCGGTTCGGTTCCGGTTTTCGGTTCGGTTCGGTTCCGGTTCGACACCCTGATATAAATATATATATTTTAATCGTTCTAATCATTACAGGCTCGCTGAAGTGAAGCGATGGGCGATATTTAATATTTATTTCACGGCATATATAAAACGAGGCCGTGCAGAAAATGCATAATGAGTTGTGGAAACAGCCGAAGCATGATCACGATGGAAAGGCGACATAAAACGAAGGTGAACAGTTTTGTTTCTTTTATTTTATGGAGAGAGAAGGTCGATCGTTTGTACCCGAGAGATGTGATTTGCGGCAAACAACTTGAACGAAAATAGTAGGCTGGGTTCTGTCCACTGTTTTCAGTGACAGTGACGCATTAAGTGTTTGGCGACGTGCTAAAGCAACCTTCAAAACGCTTCTCTAAAATGCGATTAGAAAAAAGGAGAAAGCGAATGTGAATTATAGTGTTAGGCCCTGAACTTCTGAGGCACAATTCAGTTTTTGCACGCAACAAATTCGTTTTGCATAAAGTTGGTATCTCGATCGCCAGTCTGTCGAGTGGCGGAAAAAATCGGTAAGAAGCACAGCATTTTCAGCGCTTGTTTAAATGTGGCAGCAAATCATTTACGTCTACCCCTGATCATAAATTATAATGTTTCATATGGACGTTTTCGCGCCTCTCTGCAAATGTGATGTTGTGCAGCGAAAGCGTGCATGTTTTTACTTGGTTGCTCTGATCGCGCGACCTCTGCCGTATTGGTGCAGTTTGCTTATGTATTTTCAATGATTTCATTTGAACCCCCCCCCCCCCCCCCACACACACACACACACACACAAAAAAAAAAAAAAAGGTTCACAATTGAAAATATATAAAACATATATACGTGCGTGACCAAAATTAAATTGAAAACTGCATTTGTAACAAATAATAAACTCAATCTTTTTTTTTTTTTTTTTCTGATGAGGATTGAAGTTAGATTTTGGAATTTAATTGGGCGATTGTCACAGGTCGTGCATTTGGGTGTTTCGCCAGGCTCAGATACCCTTCGCACAACAAAGAAACTCTGTACGTTACGTGTTTTTCTAAACTACAATGAAGAGCAGAATAACCATAAAATTGTGCTTTTTTTGTTTTTTTCGTTTTGAACTTTAAAGGGGTACGAAACGAAATTCGGGAGCTCATTTCTTTGCTTCAACATGATGTAGGTAGCAGTAGTACCTCAGAAACATCAATATTTCGTTGAAAAACGCAAGACAACATATTTTAAACGGAAGTAAACGATAACTGAAAACCACCTGGTTGTTGGTTAGGAATAGAGATGCCGCGAACTTTTTGCGAACCTGATGGTCGAAGATTGACCAAAGGGTTCGAAAGGTTCGCCAAGCTTCGAAACGTCGAACTTAAAAACTATCGACAATCTTGGAACTTCCGAATTTTTGGAACTGATAATTTCAATTGTTTTAGAACTTCTCATTTTTCGCGCTATAAAAGCCGACATTTTCGAACTAATTACGCAAAGAAAATCGACGATTTTCGAATTTTCGTAGCTGCTGAGTTAAAAATTCGACAAGCTTCGAATTTCTGAGCAAAACTGCGACGGACTTGGAACTTCTGAACTAAATTTTGACAAAGTTCGAACATGTTCACCCTACTGGATCAGAATGTGTCAACATCCCATTGCTTCGTGACAGGAATTTTGGATGGATGGATGGACACACGGCAAGTAGTAATCGTGATAATGTTGTTGTTTTTTTTGTTTTTTTTTAATTTTAATTTTTTCTTCCCCCCCCCCCCCCCCCCCCTTGACGTTTCTTGACCGGTGCGAACAAACAAAGGTTTTGGCGCGGTTGTACGAGTCACACGCATTTTCCAATCAACTGCAAATTTTATGACTGTGCATTCAGCTCGTTCGTCTATATAAGTCATAAAAAAACAGAGGTAAGCAAACGTTACTTTCGGCCTGATAGCTGGTGTACTTTGAGAAAGCTTTTTTTTTTTTTTTGTATTTCAGATTATTTATAAGGTCACAAAAACAGCATTCGACTCATTTGTTTTCCGAAAATATGTGTCGAACCGCGACGCTGCCTGCAAGCAAGATATGTTTTTGACCGCCGTGTCGAACGGACGTGTTATATTGTCCGTAGTATTTCAGCATGGAGATCAATCACTCAGGTAGGCACGAGTCACGACCCCCGACGAGGAGATGGATATCGCTGGGCCGGCGAGAAGCCAAATCCAGAGTAAAGGCAATGCTCAAGCAAGTAAGTCGATATACATGATGGGGAAAACAGCTCAGAAAACACGGACTACGAAGAGGAACACACACAGGACAGCATTGTCCTGTCGTGTGTGTTTCTCTTCGTAGTCCGTGATTTCTGAACTGTTTTCCCGATCATGTATAACGTCAACCAACTGGCCCAGTTCTCCACCTTATTACAAGTAAGTTGAGCGTGAATACGCGGGGATGGATTTCACCGTCCCTGGGGTGTGTTTTACAGGTCGGTTTGGGGATTTTTCGGACGTTGTGATTGTTGTTTGTTTTCTAGTTTTTGATCGTTTTGTTTCCTGGGGGCGGGGGTCGGGTCGGCCAGCAGACGTTCTCGCGTACGGGCTTTCGCCTCTCTGCTTCGCCTCACACACCCTTCAGATAAATAAAGATTATTGTGGTGGCAATAAGAACGCCTTCTGAATCTGAATCTAAAAGCGCTGCCATGCCCTATTTATCCACTGAATCTGAATCCTATTTATCCACATCCCGCTATTTATCCACGTTGTCGCAAATTTTCGGTTTCAGTTTTGGAACTGTGTAAAAAATGTAACAAAAACAATAAATTATAGATTTTAAAATAAATTTAATTTGGTTCCGCATTTCATCTCATACGAATGAAAAATAAATAACGCCAAAACATAAAAAAAAAAATAAGCCGGTAATTCGAACGTTAGAAAGAGCCAGCACATATCCATGGGCCATCACAAGCCAATCCGATGAGAAGGGGGTTTTGAGCGGGTGAGTGTCTTGGCGTGCTGATGTTGGTCTTTGTGAAGTAAGATAAGCAATATGTCTAAATGGTCTAAATGCACCAAAAAGCAGGTAAATTGCGGCCCCGTATGCTGCGTCGTCGGGTGTAACAACACGCACGCGAATACTCCAGACCTCGTTTATTATTGGTTTCCAAGCAAGACAAGCTTCCCCAGTCGGCGCAAGCTTTGGCGGAATGCTATCCGCAAGAGCGGGTAAGTTGGGTGGATTATACCTTCCTTACGGCCTTTGCGTGTCACGTTTGAGCAAACGGCAGCTGTCATTTTTAACCAAAATTGGACAGCTTGCGCGGAAAATCGCCGTCAAGCCCATGCTTGACGGCGAACATCCCGATCGCCAGCCCGCCTGCGCACTCGGTGTTATTTCGTTGTATTAACAGTTAAGGAACGATGTAGGGATGTAATTATACAATAGACATTCCGCTTTAGTGAACGTTGCACCACATACCAAAAACAATGCACCCCCACCCCCCATTAGGACGGTCGTTGGCACAAGGTGAAAGCTTTGAAAGGTTCTTATTTTGGATGGTAGCTCATGCTGTGAGATATGTGTAGAGTGTGCCGTGCATAGTCTAATCATACTTCGATTGAGCTGCTCTGCAAAGGATTACCAATAAAACACCCTAGGACTAGGGCAGCTTGAAGAAAGTATGAAAAACAGGCAACTTAGACTAGCCTAGTCCCAAGCATTCGCTACTTTCACGAGCCATAGACGCTTTCAGGGAGTCCGTTACTTGAGCTGCCACCAGTCGGCGCGCTTTCTGGGCCGCCATTGCCGACCTCCAGTTTCTCGCCGTTGCTCCACATTGTGTGCTGCACCAGCCACCACCGGAGCTTTGTTTTCGTGTTCTTTTACGTCCCACGTTGAAATCGTGTTTTCTTTGGGTCTTTTTCGATATTTCGGGCTTTCATTCAATCATTTGATATCTATATTTCAACATAGCTCTCGTATTTTCTTATTTATGGAATGGAACCGGACAGCGAATGGATCGACAATACAAGATTATGGCCTAGGCTTCAGAGACCATCTAAGTTCATCACATTCATTTTTGTCGCTAATAAAGGGCAGTCAACACCATTGCAACATATGGAAATTTCTACTGACGCAGTAAGGCTATCGCAGTCGTGCTTTTTGCTGCATGTGTGTGCCTTAAACATTCTTTTCGTAAGTAAAAGGTGAGCCGCATGTAAGCCCTTTAGCGAGCAACGGCGACAATAACGAGAGTCAGCGATGAAGACTTCTCACTGTTGCCCGTCGTGTCGCTCGGTTTTTTTATTTCTAGACAACGTCGCTCACCATCTTAATCACTTGCTCCCGTCGCTTCCATGTGGTTTGCCTCGTCACGCGATTGACCGAGCGACAGCGAAGTGGGTCGCCGTTGCTTGTCTCGTCGCTCGACAAATCGCTTACATATGGTTTATACTTAACTAATTTCGATGCACACTGCACTGAACTCTTGGAGCCTCGATACTAAGTATAAACCGCTTGCAAGCGATTTGACGAGCAACGAGACAAGCGACGGCGACCCGCTTCGCTCTCGCTCGGTCAGTCACGCGACAAGGCAAACCGCATGGAAGCGACGGGAGCAAGCGACCAAGACGGTGAGCGATGCAACAGTGAGAAGCCTCTGTCGCTCGCTAAAGCGCGTACATGCGGTTCGGTTTTTACTTACGGAAACAATGTCTAAAGCGCACATATGTTGCAATGGCGTTGACTGCCCTTTATTAGCGACAAAAACGAAAGAATGTTATGAACTTGCATGGTCTCCGAAGCCTAGGCAATAATCTTGCATCGTCGATTCATTTGCTGCCCGATTCCATTCCATAAATAAGAAAATACAAGGACTATGTTGAAATATAGATATCAAATGATTGAATGAAAGCCTGAAATATCGAAAAGGCCTAAAGAAACAAAAGATTTTAACGCGGAGCTTAAAAGAACATGAAAACAAAGCTCCGGTGGTGGCCGGTGCAGCACACAACGCGGAGCAACGGCGAGAAACTGAAGGTTGGCTGTGGCGGCAGGGTCATGTGACGTCAAGATGGCGACACCCATGAAATGTTGCCTGAAAGGGTTTGTAGGGGGCACACTGGCACCTTTTAAAATGGCTGTCATCTGGATGATCGTCGTAGAACAGTATTATGACACTGGGTCTGCAATGCGTAAGTAATAATAGTTATGTTATACAAGCGGTATTAGAGCCTTACTTTATTTTTTCACGTCAGGAAGGTGTAGGCAAGCACATTTATTATGAAGTCAATCATCCAGGAGTTTAGGAGCGCAATTCTCACCCCGCAGTACTACCATCAATGAAAGTTACGAATTGTCAATTCACTTTTCCTCAGAAGTGGCGCCCTGTGTCGGAGGATTGTATTAGATGGAATTAAGAGATGCCAGTAGGAAGGATAGGGGACAAGCTTCTTTGTGCTAACTTGCGGGCGAAAGATAAGCCATCATGGACACAAAAGCCATGTCTCCAGAGCAGAATTTAGGTCACTGTCACAGGATCTAGAGTCCTTATTCGAAGGAATATTTGCATGTGCTCTTGCCTCGCCCCCACATCCTCCTTCAAGAAACCCTCGAACCAAAAGTCCGGAAAAGGTTCTATTTGCCGCCAGTTACCACCATACTTTGAGACCAACACACAAACCAAATAACCTTCCTCTTCTCCCTTTCTCATGCCATACTATTACGATCAACGTCCGAGCTGACCTTTTTTTGTGTCTGCGCTCCCCATATGCTCTTAGTATCTCAATCTGTCAGAGTCAAAGGTATTAGACCTCAACTTCGCATTCCATTTCTAGTTCGGAGCCCAGCTCTCTCAAAAACTAGCAGGTGCGCCAAAGAAGCCAAAGGACCGTTTCAGCTTGTTGTATTGAATGTGACAGTGCATCAGTAGCTCGGATTACCTGGTTCTGACTAGCTGCACGGGTGTTGCTTTGCGGGCTGTAGGGACTAGCGGGTTCAAACCGTCAATTGCGGCACAGAAGTGTAATGGACTTCATGGCCCCATTATCCCAAAGCCGGATTATGGAACTGGTCTCGGCCGGATCCAGCCGGAAAGGGAAGTTAATCCAGCTAGGATCGGTTCTGATATCTAGTTACAGCTGTAATTGTCACCTGAACTCCCAAGAAAGATTTTTGAAAGTGCTTGGACAGGACATGTACATCACAAAAATTAACAAAAAATTGCTATTAATATGTAAGTTGCGAGACATGCCTTGAGTTGGGAACGGTGTAAAATGTGCCGGAAAAATCGGCGCCTACAAGTATAAAGCTCAACTTTTCACCGAATGTACATTAAGGTGGTGCATTTTAGCATGAGAAATTTCAAGATGTACCTCTTTCTTTTAAAAAAACAACAACAAAAAACAAAAACAACCGACAAACTTGCCAAAGTCAACGATGGGCATGTTCTCACTTCGCAGACGACCGAACTAGCGACAATGTCACCTGCTCTTTGTACCTATCTAGAGGTCACTGCACAAGTTCCACTGATCAATAATCTGGTCGTCTGCAAACATATCCGCTGTCGACTTTGGCAAGTTTGTTGGTTTCTTTTTCTTTTTTTTTTTTCAGAAAGAGAATTATGCTTTAAAATTTTAAAATGATAAAATTTGTTGAAATGCACCACCTCAGCGCACATTTGGTCAAAGTTCGAGCTTTCTTTGTCCAGGTGCCAATTTTTCTGGCTTGTTTTACAGTGCAAGATCCACCGTGCACGCCCTACATTTCGGCACAACAAACTATTTGCTCTAAATATCTTTTTATTTGGAAAAAAAATTAGTTTGTGATGTATGCGTTCTATGCAGGCACTTTAAAATAAACGAATTTTTGGTGGAGTCCAGCGTTTCTTAACGAGTTCTTTGATTTCCGCGCGGTCTTCCGCGCTGCAGACGCGTCAGCAAGTACTGGCAGCCTCCCAGCTACGCCCGCATCTGCAACAGGCACTTCCAAGGCCACAAGAAGAGCGACGACATTAACGACGCAAACTATGTACCCTCCATATTCCCCAAGATGTCGGACACGCACGGTTTCACGAAGAAACAGCTTGAACGCTACAAGAGCTCGCAGGAACTGCGCAAGCGGAAGATGATGTTGCTGGGCCAGCTGCCCGATGTCGTCACAAATGGCGCTGGGGACGACTCGAAGCCTGCTGTGAAGCCCGAGACGAGTTCGGTGGGCGTCGGCTGCTGTCTGAAGTTGGATGGCCCAAGCGGCAACGCCAACCTCCTCGTCTTCAGCTGCTTCTCGGACGGCCGCAACGTCGCAACGCAGGCCTGCGTGCCCGGTCGCCGGAAGTTTGCCGACCGCGGGACCCAGGCGGGCGCAGGAACCCTGCCGCCAAGCAACCCTTGCCTCGATCCAAGGGATGGTGGTGCCAGGTGATGCGCGTCGACGATCGACGCCGACCGACGTGCTTTGTGGAGTGGCGACGAGACCCGCAAATTGTCTTCCCAAAACGCCACCTAGGTACGAGGCTGCCTTGCTGGATCTTCCGAGTCGCCTGCCGAGGGATTGGACGCGGGGGCTGTGCCAGTGTTTGCCTGGAACTCGTGTTCTCGCTGTTTGGACGCGAGTTTCAGCCAAACTGTGATGTAGCTCCGATGTCGTATATGTCCCCTGTGTCATGACCCTCCATAGGTGACATCGAAAATTCAGCGCTTCATCTTTTTATTTGGAAGACGTTCGTCATCCTATATGTACAAAGTTGATCCAAGAAAGCGAGTTGGTTCGGGGTGTTGTTTGTGCAAAGTGCAGTTTTTTGCACCGCATCTGGATTGGCAGTATTTACCACCTGGCTGCTGTATCGACCGAGGACACATTCGAGATTGTTGAAACTGTCCTGTTGTAGCCTGACAGCTGGTGAAGGGAGATGCAGCAAAAGGATATTGACGTTGCCATTTTGTTAAAACACCTGAGACTGGATGAGCAAATCTTGAAACAACCAAAAGTAGAAGAGAGGAAAAGAAGTCAGTCAGATGTCGTCTCAAATTCAGCAAATATGTTTATTCAGTAAACCAAGGTCATCACCAACCAACACAACAAACAAAGAGAGGGGGAAAAAATCCTTTTCCTTTGCCCTTTATTTCTCTTTTCAAACTCCGCAGCCACCATTGTACACACTTATGACATGCCATGACCTTTCGAGGTCACTCTACCTTCAAACAGAGCTCACACTTCTGAGAACTCCGAACCAGTCCAGAATGACCTTGCTGGCCAAGCCCCATCGAACTGATAAGAGAACAAAAAACATGTTACCTTCCATGCTATTTGTCACCTTCACACTGAAACCTAAACTTCCACAAAATTCTTGCACTGCTACACTTGACGAAAAAAAAAAAAAAGAACATGCACACACACAAGGCACGAACCGAAAGAATTACGAAGGCAGGAATGCCTTGGTACTGTCAGTGTCAGCAAGGTGCATGGATGCCTGGCTTATATAGTTGCCTATTGACTGAATTCCAACTGTTTCCCTTGCAACTCTTTTGACAACATTGGCCTCTTTGTTTACTATTTGTGTCTCCAACCGCTGTGTTGTGCAGTTGTTGCATTCCTGTATGTGTTTCTATTTCAGAAGTGGTTGCTGTGATTTTTTCATTCCTTTTATGTGTTCGGCCTATCAAGCACCTGGAAGTTTGCCCCACATATTTAAACTTACACGCTAAAGGTATCACGTACATGACTCCTTCTTCACCAGATACCGATTTCTCTATTTGCTCTTTCTGGCACCCCCTTCTTTCTCTTTGAAATGGGGTAAGGCTTCCTAACTTGAAATCCATCAGTGATTTACCCGAAGTTTTTTGCACAAGCTTTCACATTGCGGAAAATCGCATGGAAGTATGGCATGACTGCGAATTCGATGGGCTTGGCCAGCAAGGTCATTCCGGTCTGGTTTGGGGTTCTCAGAAATGTGACCTCTGTTCAAAGGTGGAGTGACTGCGAAAGGTCATGTCGTGTCATTAGTGTGTACATTTTTTGTAACATTTGAAGGGAAAAAAAAAAAAAAATGACAGGAAAGGAAAGAATTTTTTTTTCTCTTTTTACTCTTTTTGTTGGTTGGTGACGACCTTGGTTTCTAAGTGCATATAAGAGGTTTACTGAATAAACACACTAGCTGAGTTTGAAACGTCGTCCGACTGACTTCTTTCCCTGTCTCTTCCACTTTTGCTTGTTTCCAAGATTTTCTCACCCAGTCTCTGGTGTTTTAAACAAAATGGTAAACTTGCACCAGCTCACCTGCACCCTCACTTTGTTCTTATTGACATTGTGTTGCCATCTTGCCTCGCTGCCCCTGTTGAATATTCACTCTGCAGCACGGAGTGAACAGATTACTACTATACTCATTGAGGAGTAGGTTAGGATGTCTTTTTCATTGAAACATGCTGCACTTTAGCACTATTAGTTGTCTTTACTTTACACATGCCTTTTTTTTTTTTAATACTTTTTGAGGGTTTGAAGTGTAGCGAAAGATACTTACCGATCTCTTTATGTGGAAAAAATAAGGTGTTCTTGTATACCACATTTCTTTGCAGTGCAGCTTTTGTACGACAGCATGAATTTCGCCTGTGGCGGAGTGTAGCACAGATCCAGGGTGACTAGTTTTAGAAGAGAAATGGAAGGAAATTCAGTGTTTATCTTAGACATGTTTCGACAGATTTCTCTTGGTGGCTAATGTCTACACTTTGAGGTTTTAACGAGAAAACAAAGTGTGTTTTCACGGTTGCTTATTTAAGGCACTTGCTAAATTCCTAAATTAAGTAATGTATGAGCTTGATTCATGTCTAAATATTTCATTGTACCCAGCTTTACGAGCTTTTTCTTGTTGACTTGCTCGACCTACCGTACATAGTCTTCATGATCATTCTTCATCACTTCTATTATCTTCATTCTTTTTACACAAGTTTCCTTGCCCTACAGTGGCATAGCCAGGAACTTTTATGGGCGGGAGGAGGAGAGGGCTGAGGTTGGGGATGCCCATAACTTGGGGCAGGGGAGGGGAAAGGGGGGGAGGGGGTGCTGAAGCTTCATAAGGTCCTCCCCTGGCTATGCCACTGCTGCCTTAGTTTTCCTATTACTTAGGAGGACTTGCATTTTGTAAATTATGCTCAACTGTAGGTTTCTTTTTTCTGTGTTATGAAATCACAGTTTAGTTTTATTGAGCTCATGTATAGAGTGCGGCTGTAAGGACCAACACATTTGACGCTCACTAAAATTCCCATTCCAAGCATACCTTAAACTGGGCACACGAACACAGTTTCACGATAAGTTGTGTATTCTTTTCTGGGCTGAAGATGGTAAAATATTAAAATCAGACAAAAACGGCTCCTGCATTTCCTATGCCCTATACCGTATGTTCGTCGTCTCCACATTGGTTTGTGATCTTGTTCCCTGGTGGTCATTGTTCGTACATTTTGTTAGAGGTATTAATTATTGCTTTTATATTGATGATTGCCAGCCCCTACTATTGGCTCTTAACCAGGAGTGGGCTCATAAACCAGTGTGCAGACAACATACAGGCTGGTATAGGACATAGGAAATGCACGGCCTCCGATTTTTCTTTATTTTCAACATTTCAATACCTCTGAGTTGAGCTCTGAAAAGAATAAGCATAAAACTTCTTGCGAAACTGTGTTTGGGTGCCTAGTTTCAGGTATGTACATTCGGAATTGGAATTTTGCAAGGTATGTCAAATATGCTGGTCCTTATGACCACGCCTTGCATGTTTGACCAGTCTCTACATTTAATATGCTGCAGTGTCTCACACTTTTGAAGAAATGTCATTTCTGTTCAACACATGCAACATGCACAACTTTTATTTTTCGGTGTGTTTTGATAGATGACAGGCAGTACCCTCGACTTTAGGCAGCACTTGCAGTTCCTTCATCCATTCGTTTGATTCATTTATCCATTGCCCATAAGCTGCACTGGGGCTCAGTCACAGTGCACAGTGACAAGCTTGGCAGTGTAGAGAGTGAGGCATAAAAGTGAGTTCTGTTTGCTACTGTGGATTATTTAACATTAGAACTAGTCAAACAAATCAGGATTAAACCAGGATAAAGACAGATTATGTTAACTTCACAACCATTCTTTGAGTCAGTATGTGTTCGTATTAGGGGAAGTATGTTGCACAGTTTAAAATAAAACCCACAACTCGACACTACTCATGTTATGAGGTATCCTTGTGAAATTTATTTTGGTTTAGACAGCATTCCTAATACAGGACTTCTGCAATATATTTGTTTCTTGTGTAATAGAACCATGACACATTAGGGAATAATTTGACTTGGTTTTGCAACCCATTTTGTATCCAATTTTATGTCCTCACAAGTTAAAGTTCTAGACTTTTATGTCTCACCGCTGTTTCGTTCTTGTTTCATGATGTTTGAGTGCCGAAAACTCGCATTGTTATGTCCAGTGCACCGTTGGCGCTATACCTTCTGTGCTTTTGTTCAAACACGAGCGCATTTGTGTTGTACCATCGGAGCTATTTTCTTTCTCACATCCATATTTTCGTCCTGGGGAAAATCCTCACTCTATTTGTGTGTGGAAGCTTCCATTTTCCCTGAAAGCAGAAAATAAAAGTGTCTAAATACAGCAGCTGGTTTTTCGTACAGGTCTATGACATAGGGGCCAATGGCAAGGATAGGTCTTGGGAACTGAGGAGGTGTGTTGGACACATTCAATGGCTGGCCTGGTCTGTGTGTCTGGATTAGAGGAGGTCATAAAATGGATGTGAGCCGGGGCAGATGCAGGAATTTCCTGACGGGGGGGGGGGGGGGGGGTCAGGTGTTTGTCAGCGTACCATATCTTTAGGAACCCCCTCTCCCTTGTTTTACGCCCTAAATTTTACACATGTAAAAATCAAGATGGGGGTCAGGACATCCGGACCCCCCTCTAAATCCACCCCTGGATGTGGGGGCAACTTTCATAGAACACTCATAAAAATCATACTTCATGTAGTTATTTTCTTTTCTTACAAATTCCACCCAACATATAATGGGAAAGTACACGACACTCCACAGGTTTTGTGTGTTAATAAAAAAAAAGTGAAACATTGACATAGTGGAATGTTGTGCTGGCATGTTTTCAAGGGATGGATTGAGCGTGTGATCTCTGAATTGTCGCTATTAGTAAAAGGAAAAATAAAGGGCTTTTATTGTTCAGCCTGACCTTTCTCTAACACAAACAAGCAAAACTGGAAAAATAAACATCTATTCCACAATCTTTTGTGTGTCTGCTGTCGTCTTTTGTCTCATATTTATTGCGGTACCCGAAACATCTGTGCTTGAGAACCACTGCAATAGGCCCTGTACAATTAAATTATTTGCATTCCGTACCAAAACCGTAATTATTTGTGTTATTAGGGTAGTCCACTAATGTCAAATATCAATATTTTTCCTTCGTCAGGAAACGTGTTATGCCCTTTGTTCTTTCCTCACGCCTAAAGAAAAGTAATTTGGCATATCCATTATTCTCACGACCTGAGACAGTGAGCGTGTCTCGTTGAGTTCAAAAGATATGTGAAATTAGTTAGAGCAAAGTTAGATTTTATCAATGGGGGCAAGTTTAAGCCATTTCGTTAGCACAACTGTTTATTTCGTAACAAAGCAAATTTTTAGATTGTTGAAAAACCTTCCTTTTATGTCTTTCATCCTTCCATTTCTCAGTTTAGGTTATGTCATCTTCACCAGCGCTCTCACCCATCCGTCTTTCGATGATTCTCACCTGAAGGTTAACGTGTAAATCTTTTCAAAATACGTTGAGTTTTTTTTTTTTTTTTTTTCATTTTGTTATAGCAGGGGCCTTAAACTCACTTCAGAAGTCCTTGCTGGTGAGCCCTGTAGGATCCCAGTGTCAATTAACCCGTCAAATCTTCCCAAGTATAAGTACGCACCAATCACATCTGTCGACGTCGAGCGTTCGTTCTCCGCGTACAAACTCATTCCCAGCGACAAGAGGCACAATTTTGAACCCGGAAATCTGGAGATGCTGGTAGTTAACTATTGTTTCTATCATTTTCATAGTGATTCTTAAACTAGGTTCCGCGTTCTGTCCAAACACAATTCTTAATATTTATATTTCGAATGAGCGTATGTGTATTTGGCAGTGTTGAAAGGTCTTGCCTGTATAATTAAGGTACCTGTAGAAAATTGCTAAAGTTTGTACGTAAGTTCTCACGTAACAACATGTTAATTTCTTAACAAACCTTGTCTATCTTGCATTTATTATTTTCTTGCTTTATTGTAATTTAATTACGTCAGGCAGACATAACTTTGCGTTTTTATAAATCAGTATTACCATATTTCAAGTATTGTTTCTCCTGCCTGTTTCACAATATGCGACGCTTGAGTGACTTTCGCATCTGAACATGTATGTAAGCAATGCGCTTGTGAAATTAAGCCAACTAATCGCCATTAGCCCAGAGGTATTACGGGGCAATTCCACGTCTAATGTCAATGTATAGAACAATTGTTATAAGAGAAAAATAAAGAATTGAATTGAATTGAATTGAACTGTTACTGCCATTGTGGCCTCATAGCAATGACATTTTTGGATTTCCTGTCGTGCTTACAGTTCGCTCACGTCTTCGGTTGAAATTATTAGCATTTATCTAAAGATTTATTGCGCCTATTTTATTCTTTTTAGTGCCTAAAACGTGCTTTTTTAGTGCCTAAAAATCCGGCCTCTAGTCATCAGTCAAGCCCGGCAAGAAGAGATGTATTTTTATCTGATTGGGAGGAAACTCAAATCTTCGGGTGGGTTTTCTCGTGTGTAGATCTATGCGCATACTTCACACAGCCCTTAGTTCAAGACATTTATTTATTAATTATATAAGTCATTGTCATAATTGACCTAGTCATTTTCCTTCTCACAACGAACGGGGTCCTCCATCATCTCCGCCGACCCAAAAGATGTCCTCGCACTCGACTAACCTGACTAACCTAACCAACCCTCCCAAGTACCCACTCCTATATCGCTAATACCACTAATAAATAATTGCTTTAATCACAATTTATTATCTTTTTTTTACCGGTATATTGGCATAACTTTGACGACTTTGACGGACGAAAGTTACAACACATCTCATCACCGCAAACCTGAATTTTGATTTTCTTAAAAAGGTGTCCTCAGCCACTCAGAATGAGTCTCCACCCTCCCAGCGAGCGTCCAAGCCCAGTGGGAACGGTCATCAATGGCAGGAACCCAGGCAGGAAACCCAAGTCACCTGACCGGCTTCGCGCTCAGGTGGAGACCCTACGACTCCTCATCGTGGTTGAGGGTGTTCCGAGTTTACGGTTGAAACTCGGCGATCAGCCTATAGAAATGATCCTATGAAGCATGATCTTAGTCTCACAATGCTCACGGAAAGCAACCGGTATGCGGATGGGGTAGGTGATAAAGCCGGTGAGTTCGGAAGACAAACCTTACAATCTTTTTATACGCAAGGAAAATTTGGGTTTTATTTATAGTGAATAGTATAATCCTCTTTGTTGGTTCAATCTCTTATTTCAATACTCAACAAGTTTTTTATACTGTAGTGTATATCGCGTGTCGGCATGGTTTTCTTGTGAACTAGTCACATAAGCTAAACTATCCGCTTCGCCGCCTTCGCTCACCGGCCCTGCGGCTTCGCCTTCGCTGGCTTCGCGGCCACTTCGCAGCGGCTTCGAGTACTCTCGCCCCACCTGCCCCACCTACCGAGAGCTAGGAGAATCGCTCGACCGCACACCGCTCTAGAGCTCCCGCGGTCAAATCTGGCCCGAAACCACCTCATCCGCCAACCTTTAAACATTGAAACAACCAAATTTAGAAACGCTACGAAAAATTAGTTTCTTGTCATACCCCCGTGGAATTCGCACGCGATTAGCACACGACAGAGTACAGGGTTCCAGGGCGCGCGACAGCTACGAGCTCCCACGCTTCCCTGCGTGCTGTGTTGTGCTGATTGTGCTGCACCGTTGTCCGTTGTACCCAAGGCCTTAGTTGTACCTGGTGGCACACACAAACCCGTCATTCCAGCGGGACAGAACCTGAAACATTAGAGAGCACCGGAGCTAGGAGGTGCCTCCATCTGGCGTGTCAATAAAACAACAGCTTCAGCTTCTCGCCAAGGCGGGAAATATGACCTGCTACACAGGTCATGAAATGTATGAGAACAGCAACCACGAGTGAGTGTAGCAGAAGTTACGAGCAGAATCACATGTGAGTGTAGACCCACGTGTGAGTGAGTGTAGCAGAAGTGTGAGCGTAGCAGAAGCTACGAGAGCGAGCTCCGGGCTTTCAGGGTCCCTGGCAAGCAGGCGCGTCGGTGCAGTGCAAGCACTGTTCAGGGCCACCACATGCTACACTTGTAGCGTCGGCTGCGTCTAGACAACGAACGAAGCATCTGCTCCTGCTGCTTCATGTTCTTTCTGTTATCCTTCAAACCCGAGTTCTTATACAGCGTGTCCCCCAAAAATATGTACAGCACATTTTTAGTCGCAAAAAATAACATATGCATCGCCGAACGCTCATTCTCCGCCCAAATATATCGAGCGTAGTGGTTCAAACGAGATGCCAAAGTTTGAGCACTAACCAATGTCCTAGCTTATTCAAACGTTATAACATATGTGATTTTCTCAAATTTTAGATGTGAAAATGGGACCCATTTCCGCCCGTTTTCGCTAACTGGTGCCCATTAAGCTCCATGTATTCAATATATATCTGTCGGACGCCATTTTCGAGTTGAAAATATTAGAAAATCATTTATAACTTTTGAATAAGGTCACGGTTAGTGCTGACTCTTTGGCATCTAGTTCGGACCTCTAGCGCTACATTTGGGTGGAGAATGAGCGTTCGCCGGTGCGTGACCGCGACATACCGTAATGTTCCAAGTTCAAAGTGGCGGTTTACGCACACATATATATGACACTGATGTCCGAGTGCTCCCCAAATATATATGTTGCATCCTGTGACCCCCCCCCCCCCCCCCCTTCCCTCCCCTTTTTTTTTTAGCGGAGCTGTTAAAGGCTAGTTTCCCCAGGATCGTGTCCCCCGCAAAGAAATGTCGACACAAAACTGGTTGCCGCCGTCGTTCATAGATAGAGGTAGCTGTCCAGAGTTGTGTTTATCGGTTGTCCGCTTGCCGACCGATGGCGCAACCTTTCGAGCCTTTCCACTCTGGCTTGCCGACTTGCGGCCGGCCATTACTTCATTCCCACCATAGTACAGCTTCGCTGGTCTTCCTTGTTCACCAATTTTTCCGGCTTTTTGCGATGCCACAAGTTTTTTTTCTTTCCTTTTTCTTTTTTCACAATAATGAAAGCCGTTTACAACCCTCTGTAACGCCGAATTAGAGCGCAGCTCTTGAGGAGGAGGAGGTGGGAAGGGTACTGAGGGTCACGTGTTCTCGGGGAGGGGGGGGGGTCACATGACATGGGGGAGGGGTCACGTGCCCTCAGGGTTACGCCGACAGCGACGCCGCTCAAGCCGGAAACGGGCGCCCAAGAGCTGCGCTCTAAAATAAACAGAGTATCAGCTGGGCCAAAAACTACCAAAAGTGGGTCCACATCACATGAGCGAATGACATTTTAGCGAACAAAGCCATTTGAGCGAATCTACGTCTTGGCGAATAACGAAGGGGGGGGGGGGGGCGTGTTACCCCCCCCCCCCCCCCCCCCAACGCGTTTTTGTGCATGCGTAGGTCGTGCACTTCCCAGAAATTTAGTATTTCGTGACGTCGCGCTGATTCCTTGCGCCTTGCGGGTGAGCACGGTGAGCATAAGAAAGTTGGATTATTTCAACTTTTTCTGAACGCGCCGTGACGTAGTAGGGCGCTCTCTCTCATATACCCTCTCCCGGCCAATCGGTGGAGGCCACCAGTTCCGGCTCCGCGTCTCTTCGCCGTCGGGCGCATATGCTCTCCGCTCGCGCGAAAGCGCACCGTCCTAAACAACGCGTACGCTTGTGACTCAGAAAGCGCACCGGAAACAGCAAAAACGTCACGAAATACGCATTTTCTGAGAAGGGCACGACTTTCGTGTGCAGAAAAATGCGTTGGTTTGGACAGAGCCCGGTTTGGATCGTGCTTTACGCTGCATCGTGGCGGCAGTGTGCGGCGGTTCATCACCAAAATGTTAATCCACTTGGCCTAACTATAGGACCTGTAAACGCCGTTTCACGGCGGCCGACTATTCGCTAAAGTGGGTTTCGATGAAAAGTCGGCATTCGCGAAAACGTACCGTTCGACCAACTGAGTACCACCCGCCAAAAACCATTACAAAAAAACACACACACGAAAAAAAGTGGACTTGAGCAGTTTTTATGAGTGCTTAAGGTGGCTGCGGCCGCCGACGATATGGATACCTAAGGCACCGCCATGTTCCTCGGTGTGCCGAGAGGAGCAGAAGTGGCCGCAGCCCCCCACCCCCCTCGGCAACGCCTGCCACGAGAGCCGCGGCAGAGCGCGCACTCTCGTGAAGCGGCCACCAATGGCTATCTAGGAGCCGTTTTGCTCAGCCAATAAAAAAAAAAAAAAATAATTTCTTTCGCATTTTTTTTTTTTTTTTTTGCGGTTACCAGATGAAGTCGGCTTTGCTCCATAAAAAAATGCTCTCAGATACAAAAAAAAAAAAAAAAATGGTAGCGGCAATGACGCTATTGGACAGAAGTTCACCGGACAGAAGCTCACCGGACAGAAGCTCACCGGACGAAAGCTCACCTATTCTTTGACAAACCCAGACGAAAGCTCACGCATATCTTGACCCCACCCAGAGAGGTCATCTTTTTTTGAAAACTCGGACGACCCGGCTAAAATGTGGGCTAAATGGAGTCATGTAAGTGATTCTACGTAATGAGCCCGTTCAGTAAAGAATATACTACTGAAAAGTGTAACCCTTGAAACCGGGCGACTAAACACCAAGGTCAAACTTTCAGAGGTTGTGCTGTGGTCAGCTTGTCGATGGCCGCTAGATGGCCCGCACTCACAATCCAGCTAGACCAGAGAACATCCAAAGGTTCAACAAGCTTCTTTTACGTCAGAATAATCTACATTTCGTCAATGTAAAGCAAAAACCAGGGGCTGAGACCGCTTTAAATAAAGTGTAATAATATGTTCCGTCCAAAACTCTGCAAGGCAGCTTCTCCACAGCCCCTTGGACAGTGTTTGCACACATAAATGTGGAAAAATAGAAAAAAAAAAAGCACCCTGGTCCTGCCAAACAGACTGAAACACCAGCATACAAATCCTCACAAAATAACGTCAACGAGTGTCCAATTCGCCGACAGTGTGACTCAAAGCTGCAGCAAACACAGGACAAGAATGTTTGTTTCTCAAGTTTTATTCAAACGTGAATAAAGTTGTTTACAGAGAGCTCCTTTCGTTACACCATCGCCTAGTGTTCGGTCTTCAGGAAGAAAAATAAAGATAAAAACAGAGACCGCGCTAAGCTCGACTCAACAGCAACTTGCACAACTTTACAGCGACCCTTCCACGAGCATCCTCAAAAGTACTATTACACACTCGCAGCAAAATAGAAATCTGAAGATAGATCCAATGGTCATCAACAGCTCACAAGTTCATCTTCGCAGAGCCTGTCCATGCTGCTACATTACGCTATGCCCAAGACCTAGAGAAGATGCCATCCAGCTGGCCAAACCAAGGTCACAACAAACAGTTGAGTGGGCTTTATACAGTTATACTAAAGCATTCTTGGCAAAAAAGCACTCTATCGTCACAGGGAGGGGAACACACAGTCAAGCTGTCTCAGATATATACAGTACATTGCTTCCATGTTGGCAACCATCATGATGCAAATAGTACTACCCAGAAGCTGCCAGTAATGAGGGGAATGAAGAAAAAAACAGTTGACAAAATTATACTGCAATACCCATCTCTTCTTTGGTGGTATACGATACACAAAGGCCGTTGTGTAACATTATGCGTCTGGCATATTTTCTTGCGAATGCACTGCAGAGTTCAAGCTGCAACTGAACAGCGAGGTGAACAGGGAAAGTACTGCAAATAATTCAGACTACATCACTGAGCCAAAACATCATTTTAAACTGCCACCCAATTTGTTCATATTGAACCAAGACGCACTTGGACTTGAGTAGAAGTGACAGGACACGCCTTAAGATTCTGACACATCTCAGAAAATCGGCCACTTGCGAGCTATTCTCGACTCACAATCTACAGTCATGAGTTCATGCCACGAAAGAAGCGCCAACGTGGCTAACTGTTCTATGCCAAATGCCAAGGTCGCTTCATCGCAAACTGTTGGCATGAAGCTTGGGTCCAGTCAGAGCCATGCAAGTGCTTGCATGGCCTAACCTTATTAGGCTGATGCTCCTATCTTATATTCAGCATTGCTAAGGGCAGCACATTAAAAAGGTGGAAGGAGTAAGAAAATGTCCAGCAGCTGTTGGGGACAAGCTAATAATCTTTAAAAAATTAGTTTTGAAAATTATAACCAACGTTTGTCTGCAAGATGTACTTAACGTGCAAGCACATTCCAGTGTTTCCCCATTGGCTGAGTTTGCAGAACTTCGCTCTGAAGAAACACATAAAAAATTGTGTTGAGTATCTTCTATCTTGTCAACGTCGTCAAAAAACAGTGCTTACCAATGATCTAAACATGACAACTCGTATATTTCGTCCTTATTTACGCATTTCTAATCTAAAAGTAAACCATTCCAGCCTTTTCCGATGCAAGCTCCTTAATCACTGCACAAAGAAGTGTTTAGACGTCCTGCTTCTAAAAAAATTATGCCAATAAAAACCTAATTAAAGAGATGATTTGGATGACCATTTCTCGAAAACTTCACGCTACTTTGATATTCGCTACCCTCACGGCTAAGGGGAGGAGGAAGAGGAGATGATCTTCTGCATTGCAGAAAACCAAGGTTGGGCTTAAGATTTTTAGGAGAATAAAGGCATAGAAACCTTTCTTCCGTCCATGGAACTCGAGAAACTGCCTCAACATGTTGACCTCCCCCTCTTGTAAAGCAACTTTGTGCTGTGATGCTGGCCACTTTGTCAAGCAAATCAAGATAAGTGGCGGATCATGAGTAGCAGGAAACTAGCTATTAAATTTTGTTATTAACTTGCACGCCACACTAAACAGCTGAGGATGTTCCTTTAATTAAAGAGGCCTGGGCTCGAGTTCTGCTAGGGTGCCTTCATGCGAAGACCCCCTAACGTCTGCTTTAGCATGAACCTGTGGCTTTAAATGGATCTTGTGGCGTAGAGGCACATGCCCTAGAAGCATCTTTCAATGCTAAAGGCCTGCACCTGCAGGTTTTGCCTCTGCCAGAAAGGATCTTGAATGAGGTATGGTGTATTCAACAAAGATCCTTAGCAGGCCACCATCAGTTAATAGCTGCACAGTTTTAATGATCCAATTTGCACAACAGAGACATCAGACATTTAAGCAAACCAACTTCCACTACCTAGCTTGAGCTTCAACTTTGTTGCTTGAGAAATACAGTTCAGAGGGAGGAATCATTCACAAACAATTTCATCAGTCGTATATCAATTATACAACAGCCAAACATAAGACTTCATTTGTAGAATATAACCAATCATGAAACTAGTTTTCCAAAGGCAACGAAAGGATACAAAATGCCAGGGCCGCCAAGTGCCGTAGAAAGCATGAATTCAAGGAAACCCGGCCTCTTAGGACGCGGTATCTCAGGGCGACAAGAGACGTGTCTGACAAGTATCACATGCACAGCTGCCACTTGGTTAACGCGAAAGGCACCTAATATTAATATACATACAAAATAAGAGCGAAAAAAACCCCATCATTCTGGCACGAACCAGCAGTCTACCGAGACCAAACTCGATGGATGTAAAAAATGCCCGTAAAAACTACAGAAACAAAAGCTGTACAAGGATTGCGTACCAAAATGCGCACGGGGTGTATATTGAGGAGAAAAGTAAAACACCGTTGCGTAGCCACACGCAGGCTGCAAGAGGAACTAAACGTCAGTTTCCAAAAATGCCATTAGTACTGCAAGACCCCGATCAGAACAAGATCTGATCTTACGCTGACCGATGTTTATGCGAGTCTACGCGATGCGCATAGTTTAGGCGCACCTTACGAGCGCACTCAACCGCTTTGGTTAAAGTCAAATGAGCTGCCGGCCACGAGTGATTGCTTTGCGAGCTGGGCTGTTTAACGAACAAGAACATTCTCGTTGGCTCCGGCTTCGAGAATAGACACGTCGAAAACGACACTGCAGTTACGAGCTGTACAACTGAGGAGTAGAAACCTAAGAAGAGCGGTTACGAGACATTTCGTTGCGTCAATTGCGAGGCTTTCGACCTCCTTCGTTTGCACCACTATCTCAAAACCGCGTCGCATGCAAGAAAACGAGACTTGGCGAACAGAGTTTGAGCCTCGAAAGCAACGAAGACTGTTAGGCTATACAGGCGCGCACACGCATACACCAAAAGTTGCTGCCAGCAGCGTGGCCGTGACAAGTAGACAAACACAAATAGGCCCCACATTTAACGAAACCAGCGCGCCGCAAATGGAAGGGCAGAACTAGAGTCACTTTTGTACGAAGGGCACGCCCACAGCGCCCCGCCAAACTAGCACCAGCGGAAATGCGACAATTAAAATATGCTGCACAGGAGAGCTACATTAGTTGGCGCATTCATTCTGGTTTGCGTGCCAACTTCACGGCAAAAACTGTCAAACTCAACGGCCATTGCACGTGCCTCGTCGTCAGCCCCTCCATTACCATAGTTTAATCAATTGCCGAGTAAGACCGGCAAAAGAACCATGCATTCAAACAATGAAGGTGTAGTCGACGGAGAGGTAATTAGTACCGCTACAGTATCGCCGCTCAATAAGGAGGATTGTTCGCGTCCAGAGCCGCAACTTGTTAACCCTTGGCCTAGCCTCGAATGGAATGAAAATGGCACGGCCTTTTGGAGATGAATGAACATGCAAGTTCTAATGAGTGTGGCTGAACAATAAAGATAGCTTACAAGTTAGTACCTGTTCAGAATGCCTAATTTCATCTTCGTCAATGTACAGGGACCATGGATGTCTCTAGCACTACCTCAAAACACCGTAGCTGCATAACCTTGTACTAACACCTCAGTCAATGCCTTAGCAAGGTCACGACTTGATACGCATCACATGAACGGATAAGCTTCAGCCGCGAACTCCAAACAGCGAAGAGCCGAAGCCGCGTAAGCTTGTCGCAAGCATGCGGCCGGGAATGGACCCACCAGATTCGAATCTTCAAACGGAAGATGAATTGTTGTGGGCGGGCAAAATCCTCTTCGAGGCAACCGTGCTGCAGGCCGTTCCGAATTGCAGTGATTTTCTTGGCGGTATTGCTCGTGACAAATGTCTGCAAAACCACCGCCGAAAAGACGCCTTTGGGCCGCTGCACTGAATAAACTGGCGATGATCACTTTACAGAGCTGATAATGGTCAATGGTCCTAGCACGTCCGTCAACAAACTCGTAGACGTCTACCGTTCTGGTACGACCTGGCTCGATCGAGAAATAAAATGGCAGAAGAACGGCAGCGGTGTTGGCAAGCGAATGGCGCTTCTGCTAAGCAGACGACACAACCGAAGGACGGGCTAGGGCAACTTGGCGAAGCGTGGGACAAACTTTGAAGGAACGCCACGCCGCGCATGAGCGATGGCTTTCAGGCGCGGCCTTCTTCAGGCGGCAGACTGAGTGAGGATACGGGCAGCTAGTTCCTTCTCTTCGTTTTCTTCCCTGAAAAAAGAGGAAAACAACGATTCAAAAAGTGCAAGAACCAAGTTAAAAGCAAGGCATTACAAGTGGCTACTGGGCTAATTGCACTTGATAACATGCAGGGTTATTTGTTCTGTGGTGTTGTCGATTGCAATTACTTCGCTCCGCCCGTCTTCATTTTCCAGGAACTACTTTATTTTCCAAACTATAGACCATACTCGGTGCAAATCAACACCATAAAATAAACCACCCTCTAGCGTGACAACCATACAGATTTACACCCTCAACAAGCAACACTTTCATTGCAACCGCATAGCGACATCTGACACAGTGCCACCTGCACTCCCAAAGTGCTCCCAAAGTGCATTCTCTCCATAAAGTACCCACTACTTCAAGGAGGCTTAGAATACTTGTACTTTAGTTGAAGTACACTCTCTGAATATATACCTCTACTTTTTTGTGGTACTTTCCAAGGAAAGTACAACTCCTGACTTCAAAGTACATTCCCCAAATCTGGTCTCGTTAAATTTGTATCACAAAATGATACTTCGTCAACTTTGAGCCAATATTCGCCGCCATTTCCGAAAATAATTGATGCACCCCCAATTAACCCTGAAACAATGCATACCAGTTAAAAAAAAAAAAAAAAAATAACACCACTGTATGGGTTTTACGAAAGATTGTGTTAAAAATTACTTGTACTTTAAAAATGCATTGTATTCATAGTCCTTTACGTCAAATACGTCGCACCCAGTGTACTTTCTTTACTCGAAGTACACAACCTCTCATTTACTACTTTATTTTATTTTATTATCCCTCAAAGGTACAGAGCGCCTCAAACTTAACGCTGCCATGGCATTTGCCGTTTCTGACAGTCCCTGGGGCAGCCGATTGAACTATCTGGAGAACCTTTGGGTTCCCGATTTCTATCCCAACCTGAGAAGGCTTGCCAAACGTTTTGGTAACCAATTCAACAGTAAGTAGCCGACACAAGCTCAACGTTTGGGAACCCAGTGGCGGCGTTAAGTTTGGGGTGCACTGTACATAGAAATGTACATTACATGAGAGGGGACAGGAAGACAAAGTTGAGAAACAGGGAAATAGAAAAAAAAGAAAACCCTTGCTATTTAACCCCTTGCCTACTAGCAACGAGTGTTACTTGTGCCACCTCTTACGGAGTGTAGACAGGCCAGGAGTGCCACTCGCGTTTCGGTTTTAATGCTTGTTTAACACGCCCTCGTGCAGATGGCAAAACCACCGCTGTTGCTCCATTTACCTTGGGTTGCTTACACATTCGTTCTGCTGTTTGAAAGAGGGAGAACACCCCACTTAATAAAGGTACAAAAATCGTCTCTTGTAAGCGTTCCCACTAAAAAGACATGACTTTGGCGCGCAGGTTCGCTTTGGCCGAGGGAGGTAGGCAAAACATTCTTTTTGAAAATGATTGATGCTGCAACATCAGGCATATGTGACGACGAAACCCTCGGCCTTTCCTATTTTTTCAGGTGTGAACCCACCTTATCCTCAGCTGATCCATCTGAGCCACGAGTCGGTCACGCTTCTCCACGATTTCCAGCATCTCACTCAGGATTTGGCGCTCCTTCTCGATGTCGCGTGGAGACTTCTCTTTATCTGTGCAAAGGAGAGATAAAATTAGCTTTGCTTCCTTTACAAAGCACCCAAAGGTTTGCGACCGAAAACTGCAATAAAACCCATAAAAAGAAAAAAAAAAGAATGCATATTTGGCACACAATTCTAAGTTAAGCTTTTGGTGTCCTTCAAGGTGGCATTCAATTTGATTGAAACCAGTAAGAAACAATAAACAGTCACGATGAACGAGATTATATTGTTTCTGTGTTTCTGACTTTGATTCAGATGTAATGTGTGATGATATGTGCAATGATAATGCGTGTTTTGCTCGAAAGGACTGTCAAATGATTTTAGCCCACCAGTTTAAAACTCTACTTTGTATGGCGACAATGCAGATGCTTGCGAAGCATTAGTAGCAGAATGCTAGTAGGTTCCTGCAGCCAAACATCTTAAAACAAAATGAAACTATGCCATAATTCAAAACGTCATATAAGTTCATAGTCAGAGAGCTAGGAAACACCACTCTGCGACATCATCAAGATGTTACAATAGCTACCTCTGAGAATTGAAATCGCTATCGGCTGCCTGTTTCATAGTGAGGAAAGAGCTGTACATGTCTAAGCAAAAAAAAAAAAAAAAAAAGCGAATTTCACAAAAAAATGTTAGAACTGTCTTCTGTGCCTCTGTAAAAAGAAAGAAGAGACAATAAAACTGACAAAGGACCCTCCCACAACAGACCTCGAAACCTGCTGATAAAGAAACGGTTCCAAAGACCTTACACTTATCTTGGCCCCAAGCTAAGGTAAGATACTTGAGTACAGAAAAAAAACAATCAAAATTCTTCCAGGGAATTACTTTATGCTACACCACTTTCTGATATATCAGTACTTCAGATGCCTTGGTGAAAGTCACAGGCATAGTTTCATGTTTTGACTAAGGGGGTGTTCACTTGATGCCATATCTGAGAGTGCTCTTCACAGTGCATATATGCTAATCAAAAGTCAAATTTGGGGGTTTTATGTGCCAAACCAATAAACGGCATCTGGCATGTTCTACAGCAGTGATTCTCAAATAAGGTTCTGCGAACCCACTGGGGTCTGCAAAGCCACGAACCCCCGCCTGTAACTGCTGACAGACGGTGCCACGTGCGAAAACCCACTGCTGGCTTCGAAGTCGTTGCATCCAAGTATACAAGCAAAGTCCCGGGCTTTTTGTTGAAGCGACTCTCTGCTCAAGGGTGCATTCTCAGCCCGCATGTTGGTGAACTAAATAAACGGAGCCTTGTAAGTTCTTTTTTTGGTACTTGAACCACTGGCACTTACGCTAGCCATAATGCTGTCTTTCAACTTTAAAATTGTTGAAAGCGAACTCTGCGAAATTTCATACATCACGGCAACAGTTTTTTTTCTTTTCACTATTCGTCACTTCAGCACTTATTTTTGCCTTGATGTCGAGCGACAGAACTCTCCTTTTGCGGGGTGCACCACTCATTGTTCCAAGAAAACACAACCACTTCCAGCATAAGGCTCGAGGCACGAAACAATTTGTGTTGTTGCAGACGTGTAAGAGCTCTAGTTCGCTGGGCGTAGGTGCATGTAATGGTGGACTTTTTTTTTCCACGAGAGGCAGATGTAACGAGACTACTCATCATCATTATCATCACCACCAGCACAGCCACCGGTGTGTGTGTTTTTTTTTTTTTATTTTGTAAAAAAGATAAAGGCCAAACATTTTTATGCTTAGTTTTCAACAATAAAATTTGTTTCTCCTAATTTTTTTTTTTTTGCAGAGGTTGCTGTTGGTATACGTGTATGTGCGATTTCCAAAGACTTTGTTCAATTGAAACTGTGGCGCTAAAGAACTTCGCTAAATCGAGAGACAAAATACATTGTCTTCAAGGGAAGCAAGATAGGGAGACTAAAAACATTTCGTTAAAAAGCGAATTTTGTAAGATCGGGGCTCGTAAGGTGGAGGTTCAACTGTAGTACTGTGTGCGATTAAACATATTTTGCGTTTCAATCATCGTTTATAGCTGGCATTTTATCTAATAAAACCAGTTTTAACTATCTAATGTCGTTCATACAATAATTCAATCATGCCAGAAGTTTTTTTTTTTTTTTTTTTTGCTGTACCACGAGCGACCGAAATCTCGGTTACACGGCACATTCTCTGCAAACCTGCCAACCGGGGATCTGTAGGCCGGCATTTTGCCTCCAAGTCGCCCAAGTGACCCAGCACATTGAAAATGTCCATTAGGATCCAGTTTGAATTTTCCTGTTGGTACTAATTAGATTTTCAGACAACCAAATGATCACAGTCAACAGCAACCATTTGGAACCCATTAAGGTTCCAAGTGGAAAAACAAAAGCTTGAGGTACACCTAAGCACTTCTTATGAGTTGTGAATGCAAAAGCATGCAAGCCGCTCGTCCGCTCCCTCTTTCGTCTGCTGCATACTTTTCGTCGCTGATCAGCACGTGTCCTCCCCTGGGCACGCTGACCTTGGACGCGCCGTGTTAACGGCGCACTGGTGGACACGGAGCGCCACGGGGTGAGTGTTGAGATTAAAATTTACCGTACCGTGTATGTGGGCGGCGAGCTCGTGATATGACCCGCCCATCCTTTGCATGGGATACGAGATGAAGAGAAAGACGAAGCAGTCTTATTCTGAGCCAGACTGAGAAAGACGTCATTTCCTTCACCGGTGGATCCCAGCTTTGGAATACGCCATGACCCACGCGAGGCAACCCAAGCACGTAAGTCCTCATCAGACGAGGCGGCCACGACCAGCCGAGGTCTCCTAAATACAGCAGTGAGCGGTCATGGAAACTGATGAGCGCAGCGGCCAATGGGAGCCCCGTCGGCGCTCGCCAGCCAATGGAGCCGAAGGCAAAATCCCGGAAACTAGGTGCCGTTTTCGAGCTTCAAACTGATGACGTCAGCTCGCTCCATGGGAGAGTTATTGCTTTCGCATTAATAACTCCAATTGGTGAGACTGATTGGCCAGTGCGCTTCCAGTTGGAACCTACCAAAACCAATAGATCAATCTAACTAAGAGTTTGGCACATGTTTGACTCCGCCATAACTTTAGTTCACAGAAGGCAGACGGCGGTGCACAAGAGGGCTCGTGATTTCTTGTTCTCTCCACGCGCAGAGCTCTGGTGAGGTTGCTGCCTGTGCTGAAAGACTCAAGTTCCCTCGATGTAGTGCGGCAGAGGTGGTGCAGTCAAACTGGCTGGTGAGATGGGTCTATTGGTTCCAATTAAAACCAGTTGGAATTCCAATTGGATCTAATGGGAATTTTTAGCTGGAGCTCACATATAGTGTCTGCTAGGAAAGGCAATCTTGACAGGGTGGAATGCATATTGCAAAAGCACCGTGGAAGCTCACAGTCAGCTTGCATTCAGCAGCCCTGGATTTAACTATGGCCTCCGATGAATATCCCCCAAACTAAAAAGTGACATGGTACATACATTGAGTGAAAACAACGTTCGCTCACCCAACCCCTCGTAGTCGTGGGAAAACAAACAACATGAAGGCATTGAGTTTAGACACAATTTTTGCTCGAAGCACACCGAGAGCTTGTGCCAGGTATACAGTCGCCGACCGATTTTTCAGACTTCGCAGGGACCGAAAATATGTCTGAATAATACAGCAGTCCGAAATATCAGCAGATTAAAACACTTGCCTTTATTACGTCTAAGTGGGCTTAAAAAAGCCGTAAATACTGCTTTGCTTCAGGTTACGCCTGCGCGCCTTGTTTCAGGTTATGCCTCCATTTGTGTTCGGCAACTTTCAATGAAATATAAACCGCATGCAAGCGATGTGGCGAGCAACACAACAAGCGACGGCGACCCGGTTCGCTGTCGCTTGGTCAGTCGTGCGACGAGGCAAACCGCATGAAAGCAAAGGGAGCAAGCGACCAAGACGATGAGCAACGTTTTCTAGAAATCCAAAAACCAAGTGACGCCACGGGCGACAGTGAGAAATCTCCGTCGCTTGTCGCTGACTGTCGTCGCTGCCGCCGTCGCTCGTCTCGTCGCTCGCTAAATTGCTTACATGCAGTTCAGCCTTTAGCTTGAGAATCACTGCCTTCTTTTCTAGCGCTAAGGTCAAGTACTTTCTGCCCTTCTTAGCAACACATCGCAGTGCTAGAAGAACAAATGGAGCAATGATGTCCAAGCCGGCGTAGTCCGAAGACACGATTCACCGAGACCAATCGAAATGAGGGGCGCAAGTCCAGAACTTCAATGGCAAATGACCAAAGCAAAATGGTAACAAACAATGATGATGATGATAATGATGCTTAGGTAGAGAAAAAAAGCCGTACTGCGTTACCCAGCGGTAGGACTTAGCACAACTTAGGCAGCACTAGCAAACCAAGCCAATCCATGTGCAGCCAACATAGAATCCAAAACGGCCGCTTGCTGGTGTTTCCTGCTGAACGCTTGCGATAAGTTTGTCCACAAAATCAACCTTTTGAACTTCACGCTGTACGAAACATTGGTCATGAATATGCACTATTTCTATCGGGTACGTCACAGTTCCTCCTTCAGGTTCGAAATATCTAACAAGTCCGAATTATCAGCGTGCGAAAAATCGGTCGGCAACTGTAGTATCCACAAAATAAACCAAAGGTCTCTCACATATTCTGCAACATCGCTTACCGTCCACGGCCATTCGTTCCCGCATCTCTTGCTGCAGCTTGGAGTGGTGGTTCTCAAGTTCCAGGTCTCTCACCCTGCATGGCAAAAAAAATATGCACCATGACACACACAAGCAGCACGCTGCGTGCACAACGCCGTCAAAGCGTACACTTGTCGTTAACCATTGCTGAACGTAGGTCAACCTTTTCATGGATGTGCTCTGCACGCCTACTCTTAACCGAAGCGTAAATAGAACCAATTGCAGCACTTTAGGAAGAACAAGCAGCGAATGAAGAGGCCCCATTAACGCTGGGCTTCGGTAACATGATCTGCACAGGGATTCTGGGCATTCGAATGCAATGCTCAATGTCTTGGCGCAGGCCACTTTTCCAGCTTCCAACACTGTCTGCACTTTGTCTTGTAATAAACCGCTTAAAAAGCCGCAGTCATCTGCAGCACAGTCTGAGGGAAAACAGATGCACGGGGCTTCTTCGTAGAATGGTCGGCTAGCATTCAAACAAATGTGGTGGAACCCCGGTAAAGCAAAGTCTCTTGGGTCACAAAAAAAATTTGCATTAAGCGAGCTTTTAAATTATTCGAAAAAAAGTTTAAATATAAAGTGCAAACCTTTGCAGCGCATGCTTGTGACATTTTACGGGAAACTCAATGTAACCACACAAAGTAATTCTGGAAGTACCCTTTCCGCGCTCCACCGTTTGCATGCCTAAAGTAATGGTCTCATGAAGACTCAGCATGCACATTGTCGCACTACAATTCTCAGCTGTCACACCAAGAACTATAGTCTACTCATTTCCTTCAACGCTTACATAAACGGTGAAGCTAATGCCACTAGACTCACTGGGATTTTGATTTCTTATGGTGACCGAAGCCCCATCCCTAAGTGGTTCCACTACGGATGATGAAACAGCAAATGTGGCAAACCACTAATGGCTACAAAGTCACGGCAAACCAAGGAGGCAAATAAGCTTTGCTAAACGCAAAGATCAGCAAATAGGAAAAAAAAAAAAAAAAAAAAAAATTACCACATCTCCACGTGGTGAATGATGTTAATTAGGGCGAAGCTCTGGTGGTGCTGATAATACTGATTTTATTGTTCATAGGTAGTGCTGATGGTGCTGATTTTTTTTTATTGCTCATAGGTAATGCTGAGTTCCAGGTTGCGTTTAGACTTCATTATTACTGCTTTATAGTCGGTGAAATGCAGAGCCAGTGGTTCTTCTAGCGGATCAGCTTAGATCCGCTAGAAGCCGTGGAAATGCATCTCCACCGCTTCAGTCAACAGTCTGTCAGAAAAAGAATGTGTGGTATGGATCGTGGTTATATATGCAGTTGAGCATTTGACCGCAGCGCCCTCTCGTCTATAAACGTTGAGCCAATGCATGCAAAGTTTAACGCGATTATATACGCATTTGACCGCAGCGCCCTCTCCTGTATAGACGTTGAGCGGCTACATGCAACGTTTCATCTATGACATTCCCAGCTCTTGAGTTACTGCCACATCTCAGAGCCCCCTACTCGTCCCGCAGTGGCCGAGTGGTTAAGGCGATGGACCATAAATCCATTGGGGTTTCCCCGCACAAGTTTGAATCCTGTCGACGCGCAAACATTTTTTTTTTTTTTATGTGAGCACGGACGCTGGCCGGACGGACGGACGGACAAGGCTAGACCTTAAGGGGCTTCACCCCTAAAAAACATGGGCTCGCCCCGTTCGTATTTGTTGCCAAATTGGAGCGCCAACTTGTGCCACCTGGGGGCTTCGAAGCAAACCAGAAAGATGAAAGCGGCACATTAACCAAGCAAGTGTGTGCCAAGGGCTCCAATTACCCGGTTACACTCATGTGAAAAATTACATCACCATGGAAATTCTCCAAATGATCCAGGATTTCGAATAAACTGAGAGATAGTTATTGAAGTTCTAACGTTTGCTATCTCCGTAGGAAATCAAGAAAAAAAACATTGCTGCCGAAATCGCAGCGCCCATTGTCGGTGAAATGCGATAGCATTTCGCACCGTCGTGTGCTGCCTGAACATTCCTTCTAAGAACTGCTGTGAAACGTCTAGAAATATTTTTCAATGACGTCCATGAGCTCTTTTATCACATTTAATACCAATTAACATAATTTTCTGATCTAACTGTCTACTTCCTGTGGACGGGAATCCCGCGACCTACCAATGACTTTGTTGCAGCAGTAGTGCAATTCAAATGATTCTCTCCGAGTTTATCTGTATAAACATAAAAGTCAAAGCCACCTGCTTACATGACTTCCACATTTTGTGGTGTCGGTTGGCAAAAGAAAGTTGTTGCATTTCATAATCACCGCTTTGCAGGTCTCCCCTTTGGCAGTGGTTGAGAGTCGGGCTCAAGGTCTTGGGGTCAAGGGTTCTATTCCCTTTGGGGGACGTTCGGTATTGTGATCTTTCTCCCCACTTTATCTCCTCATCACTCTCCTGCGCATGCGCATAAGTTTCGCTGGTTACAAGCAGAGGGACGGACACGAAAACGCATAGGATTTGCTCATAAATGCTACATACTTAAATGCCACGTGACACACTTTACAAAGTTCCGAGCCTCCAAAAACTCTCTCACAAAGATTCGGCAGTTTACCGACCTGATGAGGAGTTCCTGCTCCTCCCTTGAGAGTTTGTTCTTCTGCCGCATCAGCCGGAACAAGACTTGCGTCAGGTCCTTCTCGTCCGTCCGCAGATCTGCACGACGAATGAAATGGGACACGACTTAGGCATGGTCAGTCAACGTCAGGATTCTGAAGCTATTACGAACCTCGCTTTAGCCATATTCCCAATGCAACAAACATACTCTGCTTTCATTGAAGTTTGCAATGTTTTCTCAACGTAGTGAACTGGTTTTGAGCCGCAGATTCGATTTAAAGGTCTGTTGATTGTAAGCACACATGTCAACAGCCTTCGTGAGAAACCAGAAATAATTCTGCTGACATACATTTTAATTCTTTTCCAGGTACAGTTGGCAGCAAAAGTATGCGGGGCACAGGAGCATCAGCCGAAATGACTGGTTGCGCCTTCCGACGGCACGCGCCCGCTCTCTACATTCACGCTTCGAGAATGCGCTTCCTTTCGTGCTCGCAGTCACGTCTATTCCACTTGCTCTCGTCCGATGCTTTGTCGGCCATCATGCTGAGCGTCTGCCTCGGCCACCATGATGGGTGACGGAGCTCGCGTGCTACAGATCAAATTTCGCGGCAGCTTGTGCCGGTCCCTGTTATCTCGTGGGCGTTGGAGGGATGTAAACGAAAAAAACATGAGTGCGAACACGCAAGAAAGCATATGCGCAAAGCGCGAGTCTTGAGGGCGGCGACGTGCTGTCAGAAGGCTCAGCTAGTCTGTTCAGCTGGCGCTCCCGTGCCCCGCAAACTTTTGCTTCCGACTGCACAGGGATCCCACTCGCAACCGAGAATTTTTTTAAATATTAGCTACAACGAAAATATTTCTTCTGTCATAGAATGGAAGGTGAAATCTACTGTTTCGTTAGCTACGAAGCATTCCTTTTGGTCTTCCTTCTTTCGTCTCCTATACTGGGTGATTCCATGAGAGATCAAAACTGCAGGTCCACTCAACATTTTTATTTTTTTGGTTTTTTTAATATGTGATGTACAAAAAAATGAATTGCACGAAACTGGACTTTTTTTTTCGAAAATGCCTTTTCACTACAAGAAAAAAAAAATGTTTCAAGATTGCGCGACGGCCCTGCTCTCACCGCGAACTGCATTAGTTGCCACATTTGCTGTCCCGTGGAAGGCAGGTAAACAGTGGTAGGCCAACAATGTTTCCTGTTTCATGTAACAGACTAAAGTTTAACTCAACTTCATGCACTTCCTATGTGCTTTATAAATTAAAAAAAAAAAAAAATCATAACTTTAGACCAGGTGCAACAAATACCTTCAGGCCTTCTACCTCAATATGTATGTATGGCATTAGCGATTTTGAAAACTATACATCATATAGGCCAGGGCATCTAAATTATGCCTGCAAAATATAAACTTCCAATAAAAAAAGAAAAAAATCATCTTTAAAAAATATTTAAATGGAAAGACAAAATTAAAAAAAAAAAAACAATTTAGATTTTATTAAAACTTTGGGGTACAACTCTCCTTAAGCCAGGCAAAAAGAAGAAACAAAATCATGTTGCATCATTTGGTTCATACAAAAGTTCTAAGCAATCAAAGTGGCGGTTGCGAAGCGTCTTGACTCCACCGTTTTTTGCTTCATGCTGCCTGGTATCTTTATTTTTTCTTTTTCTTTTAGGAAAAAGTAAAATTTTTTTTTTTCACCACAAATAAGAAATTGATGTGTTGTAGCTTGCAGTAATAAAAAATATCTTTCCAGATTTTTTTTTTTCTTGTGGTTGTTTACAGGCACTCATGAAAGTTTACGCTCCTTGATGGCGCTTGGACTTCGCATGTCTTGTTTATTAAAACTGTAAGGAATAAAAGAATGAGGCCTCCTGGGTTGCTGTCGCTGTCAGGAGCTGGTAAGATATTTGAGCTTACGTTTACCTCGAGCAAACGTACACATGCCCCTTGGCTCTGCTGTAACATAAGTGCGCCGTACCCTTGTACCCGAGGCTCATGTCTTTATGCTCTACAGTTCTAATAAACGAGACTTGAGCACACTTCAGCTTAATTCCGGCACGAGCAGTTGTCCAAGCGCTTCTTTCCTTGCGTCTAAAAACGTAACAACGACCTAAATATGACGGCTGGCTTGTCAACACCTCCCCTTGAAGAATATTTGGAGAATCCTCAACTCTGAGCGCATCAAGACAGATCACTGCGACAGTTCAGCTAGACTCTTTTCGAATGCGCAGTGGCAGAGTTGATGTCAGCGTGTCAGTGATGTTATCTGGACATTTGTGTGTTTGTGCGTGTATGCCCAGAAAAGGCACAGAGGCAGAGCTTCACTGCACGTGAGCTTTGACCCTGCTTGGTTCGTGGCCACTGGCTTTGCTCGTCAGTGGCCAGTTCCCTTCCTCGCGGGAGTGCCGCGTGGGGAATCGGGAGTCTCGTAGGATTTTCCAAATCTTTCCCGCCGGTGGGAATGTGTAGGGGCATGCGGTTTAGAGAAGCTCCCCTTAAGCGAACGCCGTTTTACTGACCCGTTTATCGAATCGCCTCGTAGAGAAGCTCAGTCTAGAGATAGAATATTGAGCCTCCTTTTAACGATTTTGGCAGCCGCAAAGCGGCGTGTACAACGCGGGCCAGGTGGGTTAACATTTTGTAATCAGCAGCCACAAACTGTCGCTGCAAAGTGCCATAAACGGGGGGGGGGGGGGGGGGGGTTAAGATGCGGTTTAGTGATACACGCGTAAACTAGAAGATCCTTTTTTTTTTTAAGTGTCCCCTTTTCGATAAACAGCATTTCTCTAAAGCTGAGGCTCCACTTTCTCTAAAGCCGAGCTTCAATAGAACGAGCCCATTCTCTAAAAATTGTTTCGATAAAATGGCGTTCGATCAACCGTAGTGAATCGAATTTGATGTTGCATTACTGTTTCCACAGCGGCTCAATGCATCATCTCGTCAACACGTGGCGGCGGCTTTCTACCGGGCGCATGGGCACGATGACTTTGAGCGGTTGAGCCGGATTTTGTGAGAGCCAGTAAGAGCAGTTATTGACCTTCGTCTTTGCAAAATATGCTTACAAAAATATTTGCGTAAGTGGAAACACCTTGGCCCACAGCGCTAACTAAGCCTCTCAAGTTTTCCAGTGCACAACGCATGGAATAGTAGCACAAATGTGTGACCGAACCGTTTGGCGAACCGATTTGGAACAGCTCTTTTGTTCTGCACCGGTTCAGGTTCCTCCGCTCCAAAATGGCGCCGAACATTTCGGTTCGGGTTCTGTTCCGATTCGGGCAATATATGCAGTTCACTTCCGGTTCCAGCTCAGTGCTGGTTCAGTTCCGGTTCGGCACCCTGGTGTGTGGTCAGAGTTTGCTGGACCGCAGAGCGCACACTAGTTGGGTCCAAACGCTATCATCATCAGCCTACAGCAGTACAATTTCGGTTTGGCCCGCAAATCAAAAAATTTGTATTGTAGCATAAATATTGGGCACAAAAAAAAAAATTTTCGACGAAAATTTAGTTTGAGACATTCCTTCCTGTCCGTACAGGTAGAAAAAAAAAACACTTTTTCCTAGGTTCAGTGTTTCTTTAACCGAAGGTCACTGAGGCAAGCTAGTCAAAGCTGTGGCAAAGCTCAGTGGTAACGCGCCGGCTACATGTGCAGCGGACCCAGGATTGAATCCCGCAGAAGGCGGGCAATCTTTTTCGAGGATTTGGGAACGTCGACGATAAATGCCTCATGCCTATGCTCTACTATGAAAGCTACAACTTCAACAACTACAACAGATGACGTTTCCAGCAGCGGGAAGACATAATTACAGCTGTCGCTGTCAAAGCTCAAGAATCCCTGGACTCCCCAGACTATACTCATACTCACCCTCATCCTCGTCCTCCTCTCCCCTGAGGGCCCTCTCGATGAGCACCCCTCTCCTCTCCAGGGCCCGAAGGCTAACCTCAATCTCCTCCAGGCGCCTCTGGATCTCCTGGGCCGTGCGCAGCCGCTTGAGCTCCTGCTGACGCTGAACCCGCAGAGTCAGCCGCTCCAGCCTTCTTTGGTCTACCGCCTGCATGGCCCGACGAGGAAGGGTGACCACTGTTTAGCACTTCCGGTCCCTGCATCGCTCGCGTGACAGTCTGCCGAAATTCTGGAGGGCCGTCGGAGAGCCGTACGTCGGGGCTTTTCCGAACCCAGTTCCCTCCTCGACACAAGCGTCTACCCCGATTACCATATTTTCCTGTCTGTAAGTTGAACTCCTCTATAAGTGGCTGTTTTTTCGAAAAAGTTGGTAGGTCCCACATAGTTACGGAGCGCTGCGGTGGACGGCGTATGTAGTTGCTGCAGCTACTGACCTGTGCCCCTGTGCTTCAAACTGTTTTTCGAGAGCTGGAAGTGTGGGCCGTCGACGGGTGTTCAGCTGTTCCTCCTTTATTGTAAATGATAATAACGCCTACGTCTTGCATGGCTCAAATGCAAATTTGAGGGAAAGAATGCGACTTATACGTTGGAAAGTATGGTACGTTTCTAAATTCTCCACCTTTACTGGGCTTTCCCCGAAGCTAAACGCCTTGCCACTGGACAGAGCAGAAGTAGCTGAGGTCGATCCAGCGTTTGATCAGCAGCGAACAGCATATTCTCGTTGGGTGAGCCGGTGGCAACAGAATGCGCTCCTACTTTGCAAATGCATTACTGGCACTGACACCACCTTAAAATACCTTGCGCTACACACTGACATAATTCTAAACACAGACACCATTGAAAAAAAAAAGAAAAGAAAAACTCGTGTTTCAATGCACCCCAATCCTACTGCAAAAGATAAACCCCAAAATAATGCCAACAAATGTTTCTTCCGTTTGTGTAGGTCAACAGAATCAAAGCCTAAACAATGATACAACCTCTGAGAAGCACTTCTATGCTATACGGTGAGCAAGTGCTCTAAAATTCGTCTTTGGCGCATCAGGATGCAAAGAGGGGCACGCCGATCAACCTACGAGAACAGGTAGAGAATGTGCCGTGACAAGGCAACCAATCTCGCACCGTCATTGGTCGAGGGTAAACAAAGGCATGAGGTGCGCAAGAAGCAGACGAACTCGCACGCTGCACAGTCCCCAAGAACCTAACAGAGACAGGGCGTCGCGAGTCTTAAACATCACATTATCATTCTGCAGCCAGTGAAATGGCGGCATTGGGCTATAAGAAAGCCAAGAGATGACCCCCGATATAAAAACTTAATAAGCTATAGTCCGTTGCAACCTAAGAACGAAGGGTGAGGGTAAGACGGGCCGGGCAGGAGGAAGCAGACGGAACGCTACAGAAAGAAGGAGGTTTCCCCCTCTCTTCTCCAGCGTTCCGTCTGCTTCCTCCTCCCCGGCCCGTCTTACCCTCGCCCTTCGTTCTTAGGTTGCAACAGACTATAGACTCTGCATTCCTTACGTTGTTGTCAGTGACTATAGCTGGCATAACAAACCAAAATTGCAAGTCGCAGAAAACACGCTCACCTTGCCCTTCTTGTCGGAAAGTGCGCCGTACTCGGCAGCAGCGTCCATGTCTCTGTCGTCGAAGTCCAATAAGCTGTCTTCCTCTGCACAAAAGAATGGCAAAATAAAAAAATAAAAAACAAGAACTAACTATCTTTTAAATTCTTCTTCGGAGACGTCAGCATAATTTCTAGCAAAAATTTACGGTGGCCATGGCAATTCATACTTGAAACACTGTGATGGCACCAAGAAGAGTCCTTCAACTTGTAGCTCTTTATTTATTCATCGTGCCTGCCTATAACCAAGAGACTGTAACAACAAAGCACTAAATTCACAAAAACACACAAAAAACTAGAACATATTTAAAGTGGCAATATACACCGTTTCAGTATGTGCCTAAATACTGCTTTTGAACAACCTAAGGTCCATCATGAAAAACACCAACAAGAAATGTGCCCAGACCGCAGAATGGGAGACCACATGGCACCATATATCTTAATAAAACAGATCAAATTGTAGAACTGACAATCATGACAGTTAGCCAGTTACAACAAGCTGAAGGATGACTGCATTTCATGTTGACTAAGAGTCCTAACCAACTTGCAAGATATATTACCTGGTGGGCACTAAGAATAAGGCCGTTAACAAGATGCAAGCGATAGTTCAAAGCTAGCAGCCTATGCTAGGCTGATGATCAATACTAGAAAGGGGGTCATCAAGATTTTATCTACCTGACAACAAACCATAACACATTCTCCACTTATAGTCTCTCAAGCCAGTGGTAAATGATAACTTTCAACATTCCATTAGCACAAAACATGGGGAGTGTATTCCTACGCAGCTCACGTATTACAACATGGAGCATAAATCTTATCAACAACCTCTTTCTGAGCTATAAAATAATGTTTTTGCCCAAAGAAGTTTGACAAACACATCTTACAGTTTTCAGTAACCTAACAACTAGAAAACAATGTTACATTTCTAAATTCAAAAACGATTTCGTACACAAATAAAATCATTCTTTGTGTCAACTATGCTTTTCACTGTAGAAGGGTTGTGAGCTGGGCTAGTTGGTAAGCATTATACACGCGGTTCAAGTCAGCGATCAACGTAAGGAAACTGTAGAAGAATACAAAAGACAGGATAGCTGCTGAACTCACAACTCAATATTTTGTCCAGAACAGAAGAAAGAAAGAAGATGACATGTAACCAATAGGCACATGCTCATGGACCTGAGAACTCTAGGGCACGAGGCAATGGCTTTGGAGGATCGAAGCATTAAAAAACAGAACTTCCTTTTCAGATAGAGTAAAAAGAAAGATGGCTCACGCAGTGCTCCTCCAGACCTTTTAAAATATCTGCCTCGTAAATTTTTCTGGAGAGTTTTTTCTTATGTCTACCTATAACAGAGTACATGTACAGGCTTGACAATGCAGGGGCAAGTGACCTCCACCGTCGACCTCATAGACAGGTTATGTTCACATAGCCTATCATTACCTTCCTGTCTGTCCCACATATGTTCTACAAGTTAAAAGAATGCTGTATACCGTGCACAAGCTACAGGGCACAAACTGCATAGCATGTTTCTTTTTACATCTCATTCGTGATACTTTGTCCAAAATTAAATGCACCTTGAAACAAATCTGGGCCATTTTTCGAGGTGCAGAAAAAACAACTGGAACCTGATATCTTTGGGCAAAGTTGTGCGATACCTTGTGCAAGTATGAAACCACCACAACCCATTTTTTTTCTCAACATTGCACTTACTACCTTCTTCTCCCTTTACTTTTTTTAACCAAGGATTGCACAACCTCATTTAACACCTGCAATGTAAACCCGGATGACCGGAGTCACTCAATCTGTGCCTTGAAGCTGTCATTAAATGTAAACACAGCCTTTTTAAGGCTGATCCTAGATATGAAAGAGCTATACTCCTTTTAACAATATTTGAGTGCACTGACGAGTGATGCAATGTACCCGTTTATGATTGTGGGGAGAAGGACCAGCATAAATGGTTAGTGTGAAGTGAGAGCGATAGGTCCAGAAATTGTTAGACACTTTCATTGGGCTCTTCATAGGTGAATCTACCGTATTTACTCGCAGAATGAACTCACTTTTTTTTTCCGAAAAATCGATGCAAAGTTAGGGGGGGCGTTCATTACGCGAAGTAAAATTTTTGCGTCGTTTATTTACTCGCATAATGAACGGACCTTTTATCCTGAAAAATGGAAGTAACTTCTTAGCTCTCTGCGCGTGGCGCCCGACCCCTTAACCAAACTAAGCTGTGCAAAAAAAAAAAAAAATCCTCTTTGTTTTATTTTTTTAGTTCCTTGGGTTTTTTTTCCCGCCTTTCGCAAGCTGTTTTCTTTGCTTAGGCGTTGCTTAGGCGAGGGCTCTCCGCTTATCTTTCTTATCTCCTTGCGCGCGGCGCTCGACCCCCCGTAACAAACTGCGCTGTGCAAAAAAAGAAAAAAAAGCTCCTCTTTTTCTTGTTTATTTTCTCGGTTCCGTGGTTTTTTTTCTTTTTGCCGTTTTTTGCAAGCTGTTTCGTTTGCTTGAAGGGCTTCTCCGCTCCTTGTTTGTTAACTCCTTTCGCGCGGTGCGCGACCCCCGTAACCAAACTAGGCTGTAAAAAAAGAAAAAAAAAGAAAAAAAAAGCTCCTCTTTGTTTTTGTTTTTTCTTAGTCCCTTGGGTTTCTTTTCTTTCTTTTTGCCTCCTTTCGCAAGCTGTTTCGTTCGCTTAGAGCACTTCTCCGCTTCTCTTTCTTACCTCCTTGCGCGCGGCGGCGCGCGAACCCAAAGTCCAGACTGCGCTGTGCAAAAAAAATAAAAGTTCCTCTCGCATGTTTTTTTTTTCTTGCTTCCGTTGGATCTTTGCTAATTTTTTTAACGCCTTTCGCAAGGCGTTTTGTTCGACCACGCTGTCCATGCATGCGACCTCGCTGCACCAGGATAGAAAAGTGCGTTCATTTCGCACGCGTGGGAGGAGGGGGTCAAAATTTTGACGTCCTAGTTGGGGGTGCGTTTATTACGCGAGTAAAAAAAAAAGTCAAAATTTTGAGAGCCGACTTGGGGGGTGCGTTCATTACGCGAGTGCGTTCATTGTGCGAGTAAATACGGTAAGACCAAAGCTACACTTATAAAAAAATGTCCACAACACAGGTGACTAAGTAGATCTTTTCCCAGGCGATTGTCAAGCAGAAGTAGAGTCATCAACATATCGGAACACTTTTTTCACAGGAGGTCCAAGGGCATGTATTCTGTCTTCCTGTATTCTTCTACAGTTTCCTCATGTTACTCACTGACTTTAACCATGTGTATGCTTTTCACATTTATGTAAACAACTTCTTGAAGACCTGTCATGACAAAAGTGCTCCTTTTGAAGTCATAAAGTATATGAAAGAGAGCAACCCGTCATGCTTACTGTATTTTCCCGTGTATAAGTCAATTTTTTTTCCCAAAAATTTCCGTCGGTGATTTTTATACAACGGTCTAATATAAATTTTTTTTTCTTCTGTAAGTATGGGTTTCAACTGAGAAAGTTTACCACAGAGGTTATATTTCTCATTCAATTCATTGACAAGAACATTGAAACTTGCTCTCCCTTGTGCATATATTGCAATCGTAATACACATATGCGGGGTTTTCAATGCAGTTTCGCTGGGCCGACCATACAAACATGGGTGCGACTTATATAGACCGGAAAATACGGCATTTGAAACACCTGCCAGTCATTAAGCAAATTCTGGTCTGGAAGTTAAGGTTCTAGTCTCTTAACACTGGCAAATCGCGAGTTAGTGAGGACTGTGGAGACCGCAGCCATAACAAAAGGGCAGCTGGGGTGTTCCCACCTGTATATCTTAAAACTGTAGTTTTGAGGAAAATTTAACTGAACAGAGGCAGGCCTTGCGCTGAACAAAGGCTTCATCAGCAAAGTTACCCAATCCCACCCAAACTGCCGTCGCCCATTACATCATGGGTCACACAACCTCAAGCGCCACACTCACCGGCGGCCCTGGGTGCGAGGCACCCAAACTCGACGCTCCGACTCTTGGCAGGCAGCTGGATGGGCTGAGACTTGAGATTGTCCAGGCTGATGTGCTTCTTCATCTCCTCCAGGGGGAGAGGCCTCCGCTGGTGCGACACAGACCCCACCACGCGCTTGCCGCGATCCTCCAATCGTGCTGCTGCCGCTGCCGCCATGTCCGCCTTCTCCGCGGACGATGTCCCTCCGCCGGACCCCACGCCGGAGCCGCCCTTCTTCGGCGCGGCCTTGTCGGACCTTGACTTGGTGAGCCTCAGTCTCGAGAACGTCCGGCTCCGGTCGTTGTCGGCCATGTCCTTCGCCGCTTTCTCGCGGTTGTAACTTTCCTTTTTCTCTTTCGTTGTCGCAGAGGCTGCTTCCCCGCTGCTGTTCCGACTGAAGCCCAGGAACGACAGCAGGTTCCTCCTCGTCGTCGTCGGTGGCGTCGTCTGCTTTCGGTCCTCCTCGTCACTCTTGGCAAAGAGGCGGCGCTTCGGCTTTGGCTTCGGCTTCCACACGTCTGCCCTAATTTGGTACGGATCCATCGGCACGATCGCGCACGCCGCCGACGCGTTCACGACGTCTGGCCGATCCAGTTCTTCGACCGACCGTGCCGGCGACGCGACCGGAGTGGCCTCATCTGCGTCGTCGACGTCGTCGTCCTCGAACTGCGCAAGCCGGTGCTGCGCCGTGCTGAAGCTCCGCAGCGATGAGCGGTCGTCGAGCGCATTGAACGTCTCGTCCTCCTGGTCCAGCAGGTCGGTCAGCGTGATCTCGTCGAACGCCGGCGTCCGGGCGTACTTGCGCCGGTAGCTGCACGGACTTAACCCGAGCTCCTCGTCGCTCTTCAGCCGCGCCCTCTCCCTCGCCTCCCTCCTGGCTCTCTCCCGTTCCGGGTCCGTCCCGCAGCCGGTTGCGAGCCAGCCCGGACGCGAGGTTGGGGGCGTTTCAAACACCTCCGTGGGCGTGCCGCATTCGGGCGTCTTGAAGTCGTCGAAGTCGCCCGCGAGAGACTGGCTGTCGAAGTACGGCAGGTTCTGGATGTCCTCGTGCACGCTCTTGCGCGCTAGCTCGCGCCGACTCATAAGCATCGCCGTCACCGGGTCGGGGCACGGCCGCGAGAGCGGTTGGGCCGGGGTGTGAAATGACTCTGGAAACTGCTGTGGCCTCGCACGCGCCAGGCGCGGATCTGCGCTTTTCACCTGGCGCTCGATGGCGACCGGTGCGGACCGCTGCACCGGGGTGCTCTGGACTGTGGCACTGCTGTCCGAGTCCAGCTCCTCGCAGGAGCCCCGACTGTTCGGAGACGATGCGCGGATCGACGGGAATTCCATGCGCTGGAGGTTGATGTTGAGCGATTTGAGGTAGATGGAGTCGCGGGACGAGGAATCGCCGTCGCTTGGCCGCCCGCGGACCTTCTCTGCGAAGGAGCCTCCATAGCCTTGGAACTTGGGTGGCTCTCGGGCTAGGGGGCGGACGTCGCACTTCGTCGTCGACGATTCCAGAGCGCCCTTGTCCCAGTCGTCGGGCAATCGGCGACCATCGGGTGACGTCATTATTTTGGTGCCGTCCTCGAATCTGACACACGTCTGCTCTCCTGGCTCGGTTTTTCCACGCTCGGCACCCTCCTGTTGCTCGCTCTGGTTGCCGGACGGCAACCGCTTCTTCTTGCGTCGGCGCGTCACGTTACGGTCATCGAAGTGGAACTCAGGGTTGAGGTCTTCGAGCACTGAAAGGACTTCTTTCTCTCCGCCTTCCCTTGCCCATTCGGACACCGTGAAGTCGTCCTCGTCACTCCGATGCCCCACTGATGTCGCTGCGGGCTCTGCATTCACTGGAGTAGTCAGGAAATCCTGCGGAGTTTCACAGACCTCCTCAGTCGTCTCAAGGATCACCTTCTCGACGAGCAGTTCGCTCTCGTGCCGCCGCGTCTTCTTTACGGCATCCGATGCCGTGAGATCGTCTTCGTCGCTCATGCTCGCGATGGGTGCAAACAAGAGGCCACTCTTGGGTCGATCCTGGAGTTCCGGAGTCACCACGTGTTCCTCGTACCGCGGGAGGCTCTCGTCGGCAGGAAACACTTCCTGGTCGCTAATCGACGCCGAGCAGGTTGTGTCTTCGTCCGTGACGTCGCTCTGCGGAGACAGAACGTCGGGTGCCACAGCTTCTCGTTCTGGAACGTTTTCCATGTCCAATTCTAACATTAGTTTTGCCCGGTCTAAACAGTGCAGACCTTTGGGAAGACCACTTTTGACATACTCCGGTACATTTTCTGGTGCTTCCAAGGGAACCGCGATGCTAACGCTTTCTTTCTCTGGCATTTCTTGAAAGCCTGCCATCACGATTCCGTCGACTTCCCGCACGGAAGTCAGGGAATCGGCACTGTAAAAGGCGGAGGCAACGCTTCCCTCATTATATCTCGCCATCTCCAAACTTCCGTCTTTGAGGCCACAGCTCGGCTCCGCTAGCACGGGCTCTGCAAAGGAAAGGGCCTTGTCGAGAATGGACCCGGTTGGCGACAACTCGTCGTTCGCTGCTTCTTTAGAGAGCGAACGCTGCAATACCGTGGCTTCCTCCACCGTGTCCGCAGTTGAGGTCTCCGAAGAGTCTGGACGTTCCGCCAGACACGACCTTCCCGAAATGGAAAGTAACGCGTCCTCGGAATGTTCCGAGCCTGCAGACGCCGTCCTAGACACAACAGGGTGTTCCAGACGAGCCATGACCGGTCCGACATCTCCCGTCGGAGACCACGGCGATCCGCAGTCCGACACCACAAACGGCTTGCAACACTCCGAATCTTCTGACTCGTCTCCGCCGACCCCGACACTCGACGCCGACCGGTGCGACGACGATGCCCACGACGAGCTGGCTTCGCTCTCCCGCCCCGCGAGCCTTCCAAAGCAGACAGCGGACGACTCCGATCCGGTGGATGACGGACCGACTTCGTCGACTGGAGTGGGGAGCGACGAACTCCCGCTGGATCCGGCACGGTCCAGCAGCAGGTCGTAGCCGTGAGTGTCGGTGGGCGACTGCTCCGCGTTGGACGGCGGCTGGCTCTCGACGGACTCTGAGCGCTGGACGGCGGCGCTGCTGACGTCTGAGACGTCCGTCAGCGATCCCAAGTCTTCCACGATGACTGCAATGGCTTCTCTGGCAGCGTGGACTACTCCGGCCACGTTGTCCGACAGGTCGTCCACGTTGGACGAAGAAGACAGTTCAGAAGAGACGCTCGTGCCCAGCAGGCTTTCCGACGACTTGGTGGGCTTCGTGAGAGACAGCTGGTCGCTCGAGGTCTGTCCGTCACTCGACTTGGGACTGGCCGACACCGCTTCTGTGGATTCCAGCTTCGAGAAGGTCGTTGCGGCTGGAGCGGTAGCCATGGCTTGAGACTGCGTCTCCGGTTCGGCTCTGGGCTCGGCTTCGGACGGCTCGGCCGGAAGCTGGCCCAGGGCGGCACGCACTTCCTGCGGGCCCCACTCCAGCTCGGTGTCCTGGTCGCCCGGGGAAACGTCGATGACGATCACGGGAATCTCGTGCTTGGGCGGTGGTGGATCTTCCTCCGATTCTGAAGACATCTCGGACGAGCTGATTGTGATGCCTTCTTCATCTGAGATGTACTCGTCTCCCGAATCTTCTGGAATGACACGAAGTGAACAAGTTTATTAACTTATTGCTACTATTACAACGGCCCAATTACTGTTCGTATTCCAACTTCCCTCACCTTCCACGACCCTCGCCTCTTGTAGCACAGAGTAAAGATGCAACAAGTTACAATCAACTGTAGCATATGTAGAATTCCCTACCTCTGGGGATGCTTTTTGATTTGGGGATCACCCATCTCTCTCTTGACGGCCATCCTTTCCCGATACTGACATTGAAGCAATAAAGCTATGCATAAGCCAACAGACCTTGCAAACAATTACGCATATACTGGGGATCGTCTGGCAAAATGTTGCGCATCAATGGGCGGCTCGAACCTCCTGATCTTCCAAAAATAGCGCTTGGATGAGAAAAACACTCCACTTGGGCGCAAGAACAGCTGAGGAAATTAGAGGGTACTCCGGGGGAACCCCCCAGGTTCCCCCGAAGTACCTGGAGGGTACCCCGGAGAAACTTCCAGCTTTTCCACTCTGGTGAAGAGGGAAGGAGACGAGCGAAGCTGCACTATGGTGGGAATGAAGTAATGGCCGGCCGCAAGTCGACAAGCCAGAGTGGAAAAGCTGGAAAGGTTGCCGCCATCTATGAGCGACGGCGGTTAGCTGTCCAGAGTTTAGTGTCATTATTTGTTTGCTGATGGACACAATACTGGGGAAACTAGCCCTTAACAGCTCCTCTGTAAAAAGTGTGAGCCACACTTTTGCATGTGCCTAAATAGCAGTTTGCAACAACTGCGCAACGACAAGCAAATTTTACGCACACAGGAAAGCTGCGGAGAGCGCTGAATGCACGAGCAATCCGTCGCCTGTCAAAGTAAATGCAACTTTTGTTGCATTTTTTTTTAGGAAAAAATCCAAGGTGCGCCACCATTTTTTGACAGTCACTGTCAAAGTACTAGAGGTAAATCTGATGTGCCTGCCCTTCGGGCCAAGATCTCGAGCCGTGCTTCAAATGCACGTGCTCGAGGCTCCCGAGAAGCTGCGGCGTTATCGAAAGTGGGAAGCCCGGGCTGGAGCAGGACGTCCAAAGGACCTCCCCACCGTACTCATATTGCCAGGAACTATAGCTTAAATGTACTTAGTCTTCGCTAAAAAAATCCTTAAAGCTGCGACGTACCGGTAGAGCTACCGGCTTCGTTGCTGAGCTTCTTGTCCATGTTGAGCACTGGCACCGGCACGGTCACCTCTTCGTCCCTTCCGTTTTCGTGGTGGTGCGACCTGGCCATCCCGTCTTCGTCTGTGAGACGGGCCAAGAGTTAGTGCTCGTGCTCCGCGACACTCCCGAATGGTACTTACTGCTAATCTGGGCAACTGCAAGATGCGACACAATTTCGGACATCGCAGTCAAATGCAAACCTCCACCTCCTATTCTATTGCCTTATAAGGGAACCGATATACTGTGCACAGCTGCAGACAAGTCAGCCACCTTCGGATATCGCGGCTAAATACGAACCCCTACCCCCTATTTTCTGTTGCCTTTATATAGTATCTCGTACGCTACGCACCACTGTGGACAAGGGAAACCGAAACGTGCCTATGTATTTGTCAAGTTTATCGGTACCCCTTGATGATGTGAATACTAGAAGCCCTAATTTGATATGTATGCATTCTCTATGCTCTTTCAGACATTTTAGGTACCGCCACCCGGGCGCACTAACGTGAGTAATGAAGTCTGGTCATGCATTCTAGTTTCTTTTGACCCCAACTGTATCTTGCGCCACCTCTTACACATATTTGCTCCAATGCGTATAAAACTGGGAGCCCGCTGTCATATTTCTAGGGGGGACCCTCAATGCCAATTTATGTGTGCGGTAAACAGCTTAAGCTTCCTTGCACTTCACGAACCTTACACCTTTTTAATGCGAAAGCATTAACTGTCCCATAGAGCGAAGCCGGCGTTGTCTGTGACCACAAAAACGGCACCTAAATTCTGTCTGTAGCAGCGAGAAACGGCAGCTAAATTCCCATTGGCTCAGCAACGCGTCAGCTGAATTCCCATTGGCTGAGTGAAACCGCACCCAAAGTCCCATTGGCCAAAAGCACAACAATGCAGATGCTTCATCACAGAAGCCAGCGGGGCGCTTAAGGTCAAAGAAAACACTAAGAAAAGCACAGCAATGCAGATGCATTGGCACGGAAGCCGTGGAGGCGGCGGGGGCACCGCGCCTGCACAGTGGGGAAGCGTGATGTCACTGCTGGAGCGCGGCGCCGCGCCGAGCTTTGCGCTCGCACCGCTGCTTCACCCAACGGCGCAGCAGTCACCAGCGAGCCACGGCAATATGCGCGACGCACCGCAGCACTACCTGCCGGCACTGCGGTCGCTTCTGAAAGCGTTCAATTGGACATTAATGCTTTCGCATTCACAACTCTTAAGAAGTGCTTAGGTGTCCTCGGAATTTATTTTTTTTTATTGCTACACGGACCACTGTAGGTAGTGAGCAACTGACAATATGCTCAGTCGGGATAAAAACTTCAATAGGTAAAATTCTGAAAACAGTTAATAGTGAAAAAACACAACCTCGAAACAAGGGACAAAACTTGGACAACACAACACTGTCTTTGAGCTGGTGTTGTGTTGTCCAATTTTTGTTCCTAGTCTCAACCGTTATTGTTCACCAACTTGCTTGCGCAGTAACGCTCATTTAGGAAATATAGTTAAGATAGCTTTTTCTATGATACAATGTATATCGACGCCCACATGCAAAGAACTAAAACACAAATATGCTTGACCCGACTGAATTAATGGCCCTTCATATTTTAATATATATTCTTATTTCAATTTTTATTTAGATGGTGTCTATCCCTAGCGCAATAAAGCAACCGCTTATTAAATCCGTCAGAAGTTCACAACACATCAGATATTTAAGGGGGGACACTGGCTAGAGGTTGAACTTTTGAACTACTCAAGTGATCGGAATGAAATTTTCAGGGGAGATTTAACTTAAGATATAGGTGTACTGTGCAAACTTTCAGCTCTCTAGGCCAACTTTACATACCTGCATAAGATGATGTGTCACTCTTCGTTAAGAAATCTATAATATGCAAATGAAGCTATTAAGCATCATTTTAACTGCTTGAGTATAAAGGGGGGGATGTGGGACTTTGGGCTATCTAGTTTTTATAACTCAAGTGTAAATATTTCAGGAAGAGTGATTACCTCAAAATATGAGATGCATATCTGTCCTATGTCAATTTTTGAAAATATGTTCTTTTCTCAATGAGGACTTTAATGTAAAACAAAATAAAGTAGATAGCCCAATTCCCCAGTAAATTTCAGTTCAGAAACATCTTGATTGTGGTATCAGAATAATTTTACCTTCGAACAAAAGATTCCTTCGTATGATATTTGCAGCAAAAAGTGGAACGGAGAAAAATGCATTCAAACATTGAACTCCTTTACTTTGTTACTGCCTGACAATGTGTTGAAAATATTTTATATCAATGGAACTATTTGGCGCATAGTTATGAAATTTAGTGTAAGGGTGTATAATTAGTTTCTAAAACCAAAAACTTCAAAATTGAAAAATTAATTTTTTCAAAAAATTTTGAAGCTTAGGCCCATGTCCCCCCTTAACACGGTACAATGCAGGGCAAAGCGGCAGCAAGCTACAACAAAGTCAGCAAAGATTCGATCCTTACCGAAACCACGCAGAAACATTCAGTGGCACAAAATGCCAAGGACTCTAGCTCCTGGATGACACCTCTTTCTTCAGCAGTGAGCAGTCCTCCTCTCGGGTCATTGTTAATAGTCAACCGCCACGACACTTAATTAGGCTCGCACACATGTTGCCGACGGGCTTACGCTCTGTTACACCAAGGTTAACACGGCTACTACCACCACTACCAAACAAACACAGACGCATACAAAGAAATGGCAGACTACTGTCAAGGTTTAAGGCAAGACTGGAAGACTCCAACTTTAATCATCTCTAAATGCAAAAAAACGTCGCCGAAGGATTCGACAACACCTTCGGAGCTCAGCGCATCGTCTTGTTGCAACACGAACGCCATCTGTATCACACAGACTAAAGGCACCCTCTGAGAGGTAGTGTAAAGCCCTCTTAAGAACTTGAAGAAAAGCAAAGCTCACATTGCAATTGAAAAGGCAGTATTCGAGTGCATGTGCGTAACAAAGAGCATGCAACCCAAACCATGTGCTAGTAAGAAAACAAAGCAAAAGTGAAGGCACATGAAATGTGAAGCAAAGAGTGCGAAGACAAAACAAACGTTAAACGTGGACTGATAGAAGAATCTTCTTGTCCCTAGCATGCTATTTAATTAGTATGCTGACCACTCAAAGCATTAGTCATGTTACATCAACCAATTCGCTACCAAGCATTCTAAAATGAGTTCCCTATGCCACGAATAAGCTTATATTCTTGGCTGGCTATTGTAACAGATGTCAATATCCCAGCCAAACATAAAATAAACAGATTACAGATATCCCCCAGTATGAGCATAATCTCATAACCAAAGAGCATACTGTAACAGATCTCCTGTATACAAATTTCAAGTTTCTCCTACTAGGTACGCATATCCATCCTGGCATCTTAAACAATCCCTGTGCCTCTCTTGCAACTCATTTTGATGGTACAAGTTAATTCAAATGCAATTAGAACTGCACAAACTCCACAGCATTGAATTAAAATTAAATGAATTTGGCCCACATTCTTGAGTCCTTTAAGCTACACAAAAGAGATTTAGACAAGTCACAAGGCAAAAGTGCAACAACATACAATATAAATGCTGGCTGTGGATAAGAATAAACACTTCAATAATGTTTTTCTTTTCATGCCAGAGGCATAATAAGTCCAGTACTGAAAAGTAATTGCCTTAATAACAATGTCGTGCTGAGCACCATACTTTATATATGTAGACTAAAAATACTTGCAAAACCTTTTATGAACAAAAAACGAGGGTGCAAGCTAGCTAATGTAAATTAAACATGGTGAATTTACCCAAGACCGGAGTTTTCTAAAAGACAACACTAACACACACAAGTCTCAAAGCCTTGCGACTCCTCAGTGTTTGCGTTATCCTTCAGAAAACCCAAGTCACGCATAAATTTATTGTGTTAAACATGTTATATTTTGTCCCAAAACGCTTAATTAGCATATGTAGCAATACGATTTCAACTAAGAAATTTTCGAGATAACATGACAGCGCTGGTTCTGTATCTTTCTACATGTACTACACATCTGTGTGAAGTACGAATACACAAAAAATGCTAGCCGAACTAGGCACAGCAAAACATGCAGGCATATTGCACTGGAAACTGGGAAAACACAATCATAATGAAACAAATTTGACCGTAGGGCAAATGACCCTGTCGTCATTTCACGCTGGTGCTTATATAGTGTCAGCTCGAAATGAGACCCCATAACAACCTACAAGGATTACTGCATATCCCCTAACAGCCCCCAGAAAAAAAACAAGGTAAAAGAGAGCAACATAACAGTTGCATGACTAGATGACTCAGCCGGTACCACAGCCGATCTGGGGGTATAGCCTCAAAACGTTTGTTGAAACACAGAAATACAAAAAAAAAAAAAAAAGGCATGAAGCAGAAACGTGTGCAAGTTCCACCACCGGCACACATGCACACGGGCTTGAACAGGAATAACGAGCGAAGCACAGTAACAACAACAATGTTTTAGAGTGTTAATTAAGACACCACGCATGCACCATTGTCAGGCAGTTGGCCATCGAGGCCGTTACGAGGCAGGGCGGGAGGGCCGTCGGAAAGATTTTGCATGCAAGCTGGAAGAGAAATTCGAGAGAAAGGAAGAGAGACAACAGATGAGAAACACGTCAGAAGAGCAAAAGAAAGTGTCTGCTAAGGCCAGGGAAAAAGATATAGCACGTAAGAAAGAAGGAGACACAGAAAGAAACCACAGAACAGAATTTCTAGCTCGGGGCCCATATTTTGAACTGTGTGTTCCGTGGCCTTGACTGAAAGAAAAAAAAAAAAAAAAGAAAAAAAGCACACATTTAGGCATGCACTAACCTAAATATTGTATGTGTGCACATGTAATAATTCTACTACATATAGTATTGTGTATGCATTAGTGCTCACCTGTGCAGCCACTAATTTCATAGACATAACTTTCTTTAGGTAGTTCTGCAATTTTTAGTTCAGCAGGAGCCTTCACCGAATCTTATCCTCAATGTCAGCCAAAAATCTTTCGACTAATTTTAAAACTCAAAGCGAAAATACAACACTATTCGACATAGGCAATCGTCAAAATGAAATAAGTTTTGCATTCGTCCTGGCAAGTCAAGAGTTTGAACAAAAACTGTAGAGTCCACAAAACATTCAAGTATAGTAAGTAAGCTGGGATGCCATCTCCCTGGGCCATTCATAAACACAGAAATAATAAAGAGTAGACGAATCGCAAAACGGTGCGAGTTGGCACAAAGCTGTCCAATCCATTCCAGCCCCCTTTGGTTCACCTCTTCACACACTGCCTCACAGCGTTGTCACCCAGTATATTAACGCCGACGTTAGTTCCAGCGGCCCATTCTCCGAGCTGTGTTTTGGGTGACCACCAATAACCGGGCAACCTACAAAAAGAAATCAACTATTGCTGCTCTGAGATCTAGCGAGTCTCAAACAAATTGTCGGCAACCTTTTGCTGTCCAATATGATGCATAGGAAGTAGTATTTAAGGGGTGATCGTTTAAATTCGTTTAGAAGACACGAAGAAGCCGTTTCGGTAAGTGAAGAATGCATTATTTATCAATAGATGCCTTATGACATCACATGAGTGATGTGATGTCACGGTCGCGGAGGCTCACAAAATCAATATTTTTGTGAGCTGAGAAACGACAAATGCTGATGGTAATACTACTATTCAACTAAAGTTTTTTCAAGCATCATAGTTCAACATCAGGAGTGCACGAATCTCTGCCCGATTATGCTGTCAGTGCAAGCAACACATGCTCAAATATTTTTAAGGCTTTCCTCGGCACTTTTTACGGGGTTGAAAGTACACCTTGAGATTTCACAATGTAAAACGGATCCCTAAAATCAACACAGGGTATTTAGCTTCCTATGCGCAGGCACCAATTTTTCTGGCTCATTTTACAAGGTGCCAGGAAATCGATGCCACCTCATTAATGAAGAAATAGCGTCTTTTAGAATAAAATAATTAGGTAAGCCCCTATTTTGCCCTTAATGAACTTGGCTACGACTACATCTCAATTGGATTGTTCTGTTTCGGTCGTCGCAATTCTTTGTTTACCTTCGAACTCCAACTGCTGTGGCACACTCGGGCCGATGGTAGCTACGGATACATCTATTTCTTGTATACTCTTAAATCATAACAGAAACTAACAACTTCCTATGAACTGCACAAAGCATAACGGTTATGCCTTGATTGTTTTAGTAAATGGTGGTTTCGTTATAACACCTCTCATTACTGCCTTACTCGCAACAAAAGCTTATCTTCTCTAAGTCAATCATGCACCTCATACGTTTCAAGCTACTGGTGGTTTGGAGCAGAAGATATCTCTCAGCCCAGTAACTTACTTCGCGCGATCAGAGAAGTTCTGATGCGCGTGCGCAATCTCAGCGTGACGGAAGAAACAAACATATGCTGGAGGTGGAGCTTCTACGGCGCTCTCAACGCGGTGCCATTCTTGGCGTTCGTGCGTGCGGTGTCCGGTTCGCTCGCTCTCGAAAACCGTGCTACAACGACTCGCTCTACAGACGACACTCCTGGCGCGGTGTCTAGAGGAAAGTGTTGGGCTTCGTGTCTCACCCGAGTTTTTCTATTGGCCAAGAACCTGAAGGAACATGGATTGGCCACGCCCACTTACGTCACACTTCACTCCATATATTGGAATATGGACGCCACCTCCTGGCCCGCTATAACCTCCTTGGCTAGCCACAATTGGCGGTTTCCTCCTCTCCAGCGTTTGCTCTGCTCAAGTGTATAGGTGGAGGGCTTTGTGAGGGGAGCTTCCGCTGCTACAGACAAACCCCGCTTCAACGAAATTTCCGGTTCAATGAATATTTCTTGGTTCCCCATTAACGGTCCATAGGAGTCAATGCATAAGAATTCTCACTACAGCGAACACTGTTTCTTGTGCTGTTCCGCTTGAACGAAATTTTACAGAGCAATTCAAAGTTCAAAAGTTTATTTTTTCCGTACGGAAAACAAACTTTCGAGCACTGTGCATTTTGGCATATAAAATATGTCTACTATAAAGTTTAAATCGTCTGTTGAACCATCAGAAACTGCCACTAATAACCGGTACCCGAGCGCAACGTTGACCGGGCGTGCAGGCCGCCATTACTTGATCGCGACAGCGATGAGGCTCGCCTTCCTACACTGTTGCAACGATGTTGCTCTAGCTCTTGGCTTGATAACGCACTGCTGAAGACTATCCAAAGCCGAAGCTCAGTCTTTTTTTTTTTCTTCTTTTTTGTCGGTTGTCATTTTATCAGTACGGTAAAATGACAACGACGGTACGGGGGCTTTTTGCAAACGGCACGATGGCACCGCCAATCAAAACGCGAAAGTTTTTATCCTTACAAGATAAAGCTCGCATCCTGGCCGAAGTTGCAAGTGGACAGGAGAAAGCCGTCATCGCCAAAAAGTTTGGAATTTCTGAGAGTTCGTTGTCGACAATCCTAAAGTCGAAAGATGCAATCAAAAAGGCTCTTGCATCGGGGACATCGGCCAAGCGAAAGATATTGACACCGTCGGCGCACAAAGAGCTCGACAAGGCTGTGTACACATGGTTTGTGGGGACGAGGGCAAAGAAGATATCCATCAGCGGAAGCGAAGCGTCGTGCAGCAGGCCTTAAATTTCGCTTGCCTGCTGGGAATCGACGACTTCAAAGCTAGCACCGGCTGGCTCAACAGGTTCAAGGCCCGCCATGAAATTGTCGGCAAGACGCTTAGTGGCGAGTCAGCATCGGCAGACACAGGCAGTGCTTCCGCTTGGATGTCAACAAACGTTTCTGCGTTGTTGAATGACTACGAGATGTCTGACATTTACAACGCCGGCGAGACGGGACTTTTCAACGAGAAGCTGCCGTCGAAAACTTTGGAAATGAAAGGTCAGCGCTGCCACGGCGGAAAACACAGTAAAAAGCGCGTGACCATACTGCTGCGCACCAATACGGACGGGTATGACAAGTGTCCACCACTGGTTATTGGCAAGAGTGCAAGGCCCCGTTGTTTTAAAGGGAACAGGAGTCTTCCCGTCAAATATATGGCCAACAGCCGGTCTTGGATGACGCGGGCCATTTTTTCAAAATGGGTCGGAAGGTTCGATTGCGACATGAGGAGGCAGGGCCGGCGGGTTTGCTTGTTGCTGGACAATTGCTCCGCTCGCCGAATTCCGGATGCTGAGCTCACAAATGTGGAGCTTAAGTACTATCCGCCTAACTGCCCTTAAATAATCCAGCCCCTTGACCAAGGTGTCATTAGAAGCCTCAAGTGCGCCTACCGCCAGCAAGTGATGCAGCGTCTCCTACTAAACATGCACGCTGGTCGAGACACCAAGTTGGATCTCTACATCACGCTGCAGATGACGGCTGCTGCATGGACTGCAACCAAACGTTCTGTCATCGCCAACTGTTTCACGCAAGCGGGCTTCAAGCTCGGAGACCCAGACGTCGACTCCGCTGAGGATAACGAAATAGTGCGCCCGCCAGGAGAGGCCATTACTTCTTGGGCTGCGCTTCAGGGTGCCGGAACTGCGCCGTCCGGTGTCGTGCTGGAAGATTTTATCGACGCTGACATTGATGTTATCGCTTATGAAGAAATGAGTGACGAGGACATTATACAAAGTGTCCGCGACGAGGCGCAGTCAGATGAAGACGGCGTGCCGGACCTGCAGTCTCCGCCTTCCATGGCGCGCGTACTGGATGCGTTCGACGTTCTCAGAAGCTACGTGGCTGCGCATGATGACGACCTCGCCATGAGCCTACTCGCCGAATGCGAAAACCGCGTCACGGAGCTCCTAACAAGGAAAAGGAAGCAGGCGACGCTCGATACACTCTGGAAATAAATATTTCTGTACTCTATCAGTTCAGGTATGCCATTCTTCTGTGAATTTCACAACAACAAAATTTTCGCTACAACTAATTTTTTCTCACGCACTGTCAATTTCGTTGTAGCGGGATTTGACTGTATTCTTAACCCAAAACAGTGCTTAAAATTAAGCGTAACGGGAGTTTGGCTGCCACGACTGCCGAAGACGCTACCCAGTGTGGAACCGGGCAGTTCCCGAAAAGGCTCCAATGGCTCACCGTTGGAGAGGACTTCGGGTGGGCTGTACTCTTCGTCGCTGTCGACGTCCTGGCTGGTGGCGTCGTCGTCCCCAGTCTCCGTTTCTGTCTCTTCCTCGTCCTCCCCTTCGTCGTAGTCCTCTTCGCCTAACGGAGTAAAGTGGGAAAGAGAAAACAAGTGGCAGCCCACCACCAAAGGTGACGTTTAACATTAGAAGCCTCTGCACACCTCTGCAGCACTTATCCCCCTGGCGAAAAAAATCGCCTAGCTCAGACATTCTGTCAAACGTGCTGCGGGTGAGACGGCACTTGGTGGGGTCTTGAACGAGGAGCCATTTCCATTAGAATTTATTTCTCCGCTAAAATTAGTAGGGAAATCGCTACTTCGATTTACGCAAGACCAAGACGCCACACGACACTGCGGCATCACTTGACATTGTAACGTAGGGTCGCGCGACACCAAGGCCAGCCCCACAAGAATCCAAACGGTAAAAGTTTTCAACTTACAACTGGCACCAAAAGCTCCCAATACAAGAAACCACAAACGCCGCGGGCACCTCGAATGCGTCTCAAACCGGCACGTCTGGCGTACCATTCCGCCCGTGCTCAAAAGTGGTCCCAAAGTGATAACAAACAACGTTGCAAAATCCGGGGCGTCACGCCGTCGGACCTCACGATCCCGGTGGTCGGGCGTAGAAGTTCCAGCAAGAAGCGAGAGACTGCGAGAGTCGCTGTCGTCGAAGCATCCCAACTTCCATCTGCCAAAGCTTCCGCGAGCCAGAAAGCAACCTGTGGCAGAATATGCGTCTGCCACGACCACCGCCGCAGCTGCGACACCACCAGGACTGCGGCCCGCAAGAGCAAGAAGCTTCTACGACGTCGTCAGGCAGAAAATGCGGGACCACTTTTGAGGATGCATTTTAGGCAGCCAGTTGGAGACGCACTCCAGGCATCATGGTCGTTCCGCGGGTGATAAAGGAGGGGGCTGTGTCCCACCTTCGGTGCAGCTGTCCTCTTCGTCTTCCTCCCCGGGACGTCCCGTCTGGGCCCTGCTTGACGGGGGTGCCCCGTGCACCCCGTTGCCCTGCTCCTGGGGGCTCTCCCCCACCGCATCCAGCGAGGAGGCGTGCTTGCGCTGCCAGGTCTCGGCCATCTGTCGCGTGTCGTCCAGCGTCAGCGAGTGCTCGATCTCTTCCACCAGGCTCTCGGACTCGGAGCCCTCCTCAGAGCTGCCATCGTGTCGGGAGAAAGGGGGAAGCTCATCTACTCGCACTCTATGCTGCCGCAAAATATTGGCGGTAGCGCGTTACCGGTAATGCATCACTCTTTTTGGTAACGTAGCAACATACTGCTTACATTTTAAAAACGATAACAGATAGCATGCTTATGTTACTTATATAGAGTAACGGGCAAGATGGTCTCGTTACTCGTTACACCTCCCGAAAATTTGGGGAAAATTAGAGTTTCGTGTTTTGTGTTTCAAGGCTCCAAGTCATGTATTACCTTTCAAATTTTGCCTTTCTTTCTTTCCATGCAAACGACAGAACAGTAAAACATTTTACTTCATAAATAAAAAGTAATACAAAAGTAATGTGTCCCCTTTTATCGGTAATGCATTCTCTTTATTTTGAGGTAATGTAGGTTGGAAACACATTTCTTTTATTTGCGAGTAACGAGTGACATATCGTGTTACTTTTCTTCAGTAATGCCTAGAAGACTGGTGCCAACTTAGTATCATCTCGTGCTTCACGTGTTTATCGGCCCAGTTTGTCTGTGCCACACGTGCATATCACGACTCCCAAAGTGGCACTTCTTTTGCAAGACGTCGCACTGTGCGATGCATGTACCAAATGTGGGTACACAGAGCATGAGGCATACGAAGCATGACCCCAGTATTGTGGCGCCATCTGGTGAGTCAACGTTGAACTAATGCAACTAAATAAACTGCACTTGGAGAATCAGCACCCCGTTCCCCAACCTTTGTGTGGACGCCACCATTTTGGTGCTTGTCGCAGAGCGGATGCAAATGACGACCATTGATTGGAAAATTCGACATAGTGAGAATCAGACACATGTCGGGAGGCTTGAGCAACGCCCTTTTGCTTTGTTTTTGGTGGACGGAAAAGCACTTTTTTGCAACTTCAGATGAGGCTTAAAAAAACTGGCAACAATTATTGCACTATAGTGGCTGAAGTGTTGTTACTCAGAAGCATAGCTTGTTTAGTGGCTCCACGCTGAATCATTTAGGTGGCGCCATCTGGTGAGTCAATACTGAAACATTTAGGTGGTGCCACCTGGCAAGTCAACACTGAACCATTTAGGTGGTGCCACCTGGCAAGTCAACACTGAACTATTCGGGTGGCACTGTCTGGTGAGTAAGCACAACCATTTAGGCGGTGCAGGGGTGGAAGCAAACTTCAGCCTTTTGGAGCAGGTCTGGGAGCAGCAAAGATACCCCTTTGGAGCAGCTTTGGAGCAGTAAAAGTTCAGCTTTGGAGCAGCTCAGGAGCAACAAAAATCGAGTTTCTTAGCAGCATAAGCAAATCTTGGAGCTGCTTGGTGCTATAAGCACAGATGTGTTTTTCAAAATACAAAAAGAAATATAAATAAAAAAGCATCTCCATGTGACATTCCAGAACCATTTCCAAACATGACCTTTCAATAAATATATTCCAGCCCATAGCAAAAAAGATATTTGAATGGCTGCCATTGAGAACTGTCCTGGTGGTAGCGGGTTGGCTCTTCTCATGGATTTACAATACTAGGCATAGGCAACTAAAGAAAAACAACTTAAGCCTCATGAAATAAGACATTTTCACTGTTTAATAACGTAAATCGCACGTTCCATAAGTTAAAAATAAAACCATTTCAAGCTGCAATAGTATGGTATGAAATAAAGTTCAATACTGACTGCAGTTCATCATTAGGAAATACAAATGTTTCAAGTCCCTGTTTAGCAAACAAAAGTATTCCAATACTCAACAGAGTACAAATCTACTCTATATGATAAAAACACAAATGCAAAATAGTGAAAACTTCATGATACCACCTATACCATTACTGCTCATACATACACACTCAATTAACCCTCACTAAAAAGGGCATCACTGACTAAATAGAAACAAGAAAGCAGTGGCGTACCAACTTGTTTTTGAGTGGGGGGGGCAAACCAGACCCTCTCCCCCCCCCCCCAAATCGAAAATTCGGCGCAACTTTTGTCCAACTTTTCTAAAAATTTGGCAATGATTCGGCAAAATTACAACGTTACCAGACTTAACATTGATATTTTGTTTTTTCTCACGAAAAAAATTTTGCTTCTTCTTCTTAAAATAAATACAACTTGTAGTGCCTATTGAAAGAGTTATGACTAAATAAGGTGATATTCTAGAAGATAATTGTATCGATGTCGCTTTTGTGTGTTTACTTGTAATTTTGGTGTATGCTTCCAGAAAGTGGCGTGACAACGAGGTTGGGTAGTAGCCGGCACAGTCACGAATCACACTACGAGAGCTTTGATTTTGAGGCTTCATCAGCGCACGCCTGCAAGTGTGTTTACATTGTTAAAATAAAGGCAATCACTGCGTTCTTACTTTCTCTGATAGTCGCCGTTTCGTGCACGAAAACGGATGCAACGGTTGCTGAGCCTTCACCAGAAGAGGTAACAATATTGTAAATATGCATGTTTTTCGATTTGAGTCACTTGACGTCAGCTTTGCATGAAAGTGCGCGTTCCATATTCGCAACGTGCCGTTTTTAACCTTTAAAATTCCGGTTTCTGGTGTTCGGACACACACGGACGTTTAGGAAGATGGGGAGAGTTAGGAATGGTCGGATGTGCAACGTCGACCATGATAGTTGTGTTTAACGAATATTTTTCATCAGTGTTTACTAACGAGTGCTTGGACTCCGTCCCCACTCTCCCTGAAGAGCTTTACGAGCGCATGCATCCTACTAACGTTAACTCCGCCGGTATTATAACTAGGGTGTGTACTTTCCGGTGTTTATTTGTGAGAAAAATCGGCGGATGTTTTTCGGTGTTTATTTATTTTCAAAACACCGGCGTATTTCGGTGGAACGTCTCACGACGAGGCTAAACTCGGTGATTATCGGTGAAAAAAACGCGATTGATCAGAAACAGAGAGTTCCAATTTTATTCACATAGTTCATACACTTCTTCTCTAGGAAGCAACTATTTCTCACACTTGGTTATTATAGTAGATGAAAGCATACTTTCATGCTTGCATCTTCACGCAAGGAACGTGCTGCCGTCATGGCAGCACGTTCCTTGCGGTTTGCAACCCGCAATTATGAAAACGCACGGTCCTGTACGACACGGACGTTGGCAGTGTCTTCCAGGAACCACAGCAACCTCTGAATACATGGCTTGCACCAACATCACTTGGCCAGACACAATGAGGAAAAGGCACGTGAGAGCCTATCCTCCACTGCCTTAATTTTTCCACAAAAGGGGGCCATGGGAGACACAATAGGGGAAAGGCATTGAGAGCTTAGCTTCCACTGCGTTCACTAGACGCTTTTGACCCCCAGAAAGGAGGGCGGACTGACGCCACCTGAAAGCCATGTATAAACACTGGAAGAATGCAGGATCCACGAGATAACACGTTTGACGAACCTCTATGGGGAAAGGGTTTCGCTAGGTCGGAAACTAGCAACGACCGGTGTTTTTCGGTTTTAACCAGGGCGAAAATATCAAACCACCGGTGTTTTTCGGTTTTAACCGATTTTATATTTTAGTCACCGACGGATGTTTATCGGTGTTTTTCGGTTAAAACCGGAAAATGCACACCCTAATTATAACATTGATTGATAAACTAAAACTTACTTCGTCCGCTGGAACCGATAACATCAACTCTAAAATTTAAAAGAAACACCAGTGTTATTTCGAGTGAGTATTTAAAACTTATCTTTATTCAGTCCTTATCTCAAAGGTGCCTTCCATCTGACCAAAAGGTGGGAAGGGTAATTCCCAGTCTTTAAACAGGGCAGCCGCTCTTCCGCATCTAATTATCGCCCTAATTCATTGACTTCAATTTCTTGCAAACTACTTGAGCATATCCTCTACTCCAATATCATGAGGCACCTATCATCCCATTTCTTTTCTTTAAACAGCAGCACGGTTCTCAAAAAGGTACACTCTCCGGCAATATGAAAGACACACTGGGAGCGCGTGGCCGAGGCGGTGGCTGGCGGGGGCGCTGCGAGCCCTCCGGGCAATACCATTCTGCTTCGAGGGGAGGACGCTCACTCGGGCTCAGATAAAGCGAAACGCGCTTATCAGTTTGTGCCGAGTGCCGAATGAGCGTCCTCCCCTCGAAGCAGAATGGAACTGCCCGGAGCGCTCGCAGCGCCCCCACCAGCCACCGCCTCGGCCACGCGCTCCCAGTGGGTCTTTCATATCGCCGGAGACTGTACTTTCCTGCGAAACACAACTCTGCGACTTCATCCATGACTTGCACACTAACCTTGAACCTTGAACCTTGAAATAAAAAAACTGACGCAGTTTTTTTTTTTTTTCCCAAAGCGTTCGGCCGTGTTTTTTATCAACGCCTTCTTTCTAAGCTATCATCTTTTTGCCTCGACCAAATAACCGTTTGCATAGATTCGTGACTTTCTTTTTTCCCGTGTACAGGTCACGTCCATGATGATCATGAATCTTCCTTAATAAATGTATCTCCTGGTGTTCCCCTGGGGTTCGTACTTGGGCCCTTACTCTTTTTAATATTTATTAATGACATCCCCATTGGGATTTCTTCAAAAAAAACGCTTTTTCGCCGACGACTGCGTCATCCATAACAAAGTAACTTGTGTGCAAAATAATAACCAGCTGCAGGAAGATCTAGAGAAAATTAACAATTGGTGCAAAGAGTGGATTATGTCATTAAACAAGTATAAACGCAAACTAATCCACTTCACCAAGAAAAAAAAACAAACACTGTCATTTAATTACTTCTTGTACTCCGATCTGATTGAGACCGCTACTGTGTATAAATACCTTGGTGTAAGACTAACATCTGACCTTCCCTAAAATAACCACATTGAAGTCATTACTGCCGATTCATCTGGAACTCTTGGACTAAGCAGACGTAACTTAAAAAGGGCTCCACCCTTTGTTCGTAAGCTAACCTTGGACACGTACGTCAGACCAAAAATAGAATATGCTTCAACCATCTGGAATACCCATCGACTGTACCTCATCAATACCCTGTAG